AAGAAGACGGAAGGGCTGGGATGGAAGGGCAAGTTGATTGTGGAGTTGACGGCGGGGAGCAAAGAGGCTGCGGATGGATTGGTTATTTCCGGGAGCGAAAGTGAGCAGGCGTATCATTTGACGGGGATGAAAGCGAGAGATCAGTTGTTTAATCGGTTGATTGCTATTGATGCGCAGTTTTGGGAGAGTCATTGAACTGACTTGACGCGATTATGAATATAATGAATGTATTTTGTGCAGTCGATGATGCGTGGGGAGATTAGGCACCCGCAGGCCACCACCAGGCTGCCACGGCCGTTCCCCACATTATCCCAAAGCTTAAAAGCGCTATCAAATCCTTGGATTTCTTGACCTGACCATAAATCAATATCATCAAAATGGCAGAACCAGATATCCACCCTCCCAATTTCACATCATGCCTGGACCAAAATCAAAGCCCCCTCTTCTCAATATTACCCCCAGAAATCCGCCGAGAAATCTTCGCCTACGCGCTTGCCGCCTTCGAGGACACTAGCAACCCCTACTGCAAAGACACATATTGGAGACGGCCGGGCTATGACGCGCCCCACCGCACCCACACGGAGCTCCTCCGGACCTGTAAACGCGTCTACCAGGAAGCTTGGTTCATGCCGTTCACATACGCCGAGCACGCCTTCTACCTGACATCGCAGGACCGAGCACCAAACCAACTCTCGCCGAGGGCCTTCCAGCGATGCCTGGACCTGATCCATCAGACGCACGGCAAGGTCGAAGCCGGCAGGATCAGGATCTTCGCGCAGCTCTTCATGCTCGAAGATGGACACCGGATGAAGGCGTTGCTGGACATGACGCATTTCTATCCCCGGAGCATCACGCTGACGATCCGGTACACGGATTTCTGGATGTGGGAGGAGAACGAGCCTCTTTATATTGACGCGCACTGGGTCAATATGATCTACTTTCCGGAAAGCGTGACGCGCTTCAGTATGGATTTTGAGAGCATCGAGCGTCGCAAGGACGAGATCGACTATATTGCCAACGCGGCGGCTGAGAAGTGGTTCTTCCGGCGCAAGGACGGGAAGTTCCTGACGGCTGATAAGGCCGATATGTCGGTGTCGCGATGGACGGGGAGTTCCATTCTAAGGGGAGAGCGATGGCTGAGGGATGAGGTTCGGCCGGGTCAATTGGACTATTATGTTGTCACGGTCGTGTGGAGGGTCTCACCTGGTTTACCTGAGGCGCCGTTACCCACGCCGTGTCCGAAGGTTGAGATACCGCAAGATTTCCAGCAGCCGGCGCCTCCGTTTACTTTAGAGGCGTATGTGAGTGTTGCGGAATTGCAGGACGCCAATATAGCGCTGGATACACCGGCTGAGGAGACTTGGGTTGCTCTTGAGGCGCATCGAAGAGCGATGCAGGAGGCAGCCAGCGACGCAGAGGATGACGTTCAGCTCCAAGATGAAGGCCTGTGGTAGTAACTAAAGTATATCATGCAAGGGGTGGTCAGGTGGTCTACAAGTGGACAAACTTCTATTGCTGTAGATTAGCCTTGTTGTATGTGATGAGGGCGTTGAGGGAGAATCACCGATTCCCTAAATAGTTAGAGCAAGGCAACTACATCAAACGAGTCATGCGAGTCAACAAGTGACATGTCTCATGATCATAAAGCTCACATCGACATCCGTCCTCCACAGAGTACTCATCTGTCAATCAGTCCAAAGATATCAATTCAACAAGTAATCTTTACTTCTTCCTTCTGTCTCTTCTAAGATAGCCCTAAAGCAAGCATCGAATATGGCTCCTTCTTGGCTGTGGGACACGTCTCCTAGTTTCCAAGCCTAGATGAGAAATGATTAGTCCTAGCTACCAGCATTGTTTGGTATACATTCCTCGCATCGTTCCCCACAGTCATTTCCAGGAATCACACGGAGCTGACAGGAGCAAAGATTAATTTGCGCAAGCGATCGTAGATCCAACCCAATCTTGCATGGGGCCGAACCTACGCCACACCGATCCCTGTCTGTCCGAGAATGCTGTAGCCTACCGTGAATCTGCATCTTGGTTAGCGAACGCGTCATCCACGTCGGATCCGACGCTCGGCTGAGCAAAGCTTAAGCATGGACGCTGGTAGAACCATAAATATTGTAGTTCATTTCTTCCCTTCCGACTTGGTTAGTATCAATAGTACCATCACTTGACTTTCCTTTCAGCTGTTGGGAAAGTAGAGACCGAATTCAGGACGTCGGCTTTGTAACTTGCAGGACGATTGGGGCTTGGGTGGTCAGCCACAATATGCTGCTCAGCCTGCAGTGGAATTCCAAATATGCAAGGAGCGATCGGCAGCCCATCAGTTGGTAAATAAGTGTTTTGCTCGGGCGTACTCCGTGCGTGCGATGGCTGGTGGTGTGGCTGGCAATAATACTCGCCAGCGCCAACTAGCTCCCAAGGCCCCGTACTGCCATGAGGGTATAATCTATATCCAGCGTGAGGTGCAATTGGGAGAGCTATGATGATACCTAACATACCCTAAACTTATTAGAAGAGCACGGGATCGTAGTTTTTTAAGCCAATAAAAGGCTAGCAGGTAAAGGTTTTGGACCAATCGCGTCAAAATAGCAAAGTACCTACAAGGGGCGGTATGCAATAAGCAATAGGTCAACTAACCGAGCTTCCTTGAAAGCCTGATTTGGATGGACTGTCGAGACACTAAGCAAGCCCTTCAATGCCCTGCTTCTGTACACGTAATGTTACCCTTGATGCTGGCTAATGTGAGATACCTAGGGTTGGGATCTACAGCCATTCGGGAAAGGATAGATGGTATTAGTCCACGGTTCCATTGGGGACTATTTGTGGATCTCCCTTGGTGAGCTTGCTGTGAACTTGGCGGGAGGTAATCTCAGCTTCTACGATCGTATCTATTTTGTGGCCAGTTCAGGGTTTGTTTTGCATCTCATTCTCCAGATACGGCCACTATGTATTAGTCTCGGAACCCTTTCGGCTTTCCCAAGTCGACGGGGCTGCAATGACGACTGTGGTCGATCCTTTGGATAAAATCTCGCTTGGAGTGAAGAATGTGGTAACATCCTGAACCATGGATGGCTATACTCGTCAACACTCTCTGAATAGTGATACCCTCAAGGCCACTAACAACGAGAATAACAAACTGCAACGCCCTATGCAGAAGAACCTCGGAACTTACTCCCACGAGACACTCGAACTGAGACATCCCTCTCGATAATACCGAGAAATCCTTTTGCCATGAAGGATCCATCAAGCTTCGTAAGGTACCTTGGGTGGTACACAACAAATACCGCAATGCGGAAGAGGCGCATGAGGAGAATCCTGCGTGCATCTTAGAGATCGGGCTAGAACTGACTGATCCCAAGATCAACATTCACAAGTTCATCCAGCGCCCCCAATCATAATGCATTATCTTCCGCCTCATTATGGACTTGTCCGAACCTGGGCTCGCTTAATGTCTCCAGATATCCAGATAAGTCAGGCTGCATGACCTAGCATGAGGAGACTGGACTAACTGTCCAAGATTGATTATTGTTCTGCGTCAATCTGCCAGTTCTTATACGTTAGTCCCACTCTAGGCGGCACCGAATCCGATATAATTGCGCTGGTTGCGCCACTGGGACAACATGAGCTCCTTGCTTGATAGATCGCCGTGCTGCTTGATGGACCGATCTAAAATGAAGTCAACAGAGGGAGTTCTTCTTTGTTCCTTTTTACTGTTGTGAACCCCCGTGGAGACTGGGAGTAGAAAATCCACAGCAGCCGAGATATCAAACTGAAGCAGACCAATGGCTGCGGATTAGATACCTACAGGAGACCTGCATTAGAGTATCAATCTCCAGGTTTATCTGTCACATGGAACATCAGCCGCCGAATTGACAGGATATAGCCGTAGTCCCTTATGTCTCACCAAATATACAGGTCCATTGCTGTGGCTCAAGCGCCATGTCTTGTAAACATACCGGCAATGATGCATCTGCAGCTGTGCTGCCGTCATTAGATAAAGCACCTGTAGAAGGATCAACGAAGCCCTGTTTTTGGCTGCAATTGCACCGGCTTCCATTGGCCCCCGTTTCAGTCGCCACCATACCGGTGTGGCTGGCTCCAGCGGGCTATTCTTGAGATGAGATCGCGCACGCTTATGGAAATCTCGCGAAACCTCCTATTCCTGTAGCCTTGCTTTGCACAATGCAAAATGTATTGGCGTGATCATCGGCAGATATGGAGTAGTGGCTGTTCGATCAGATCCTTCCGCCGATCGTCCCGTTGACAAGTAAAAGTACCGAGGGCGTCCTACTGACTGACAGATGTCCCCTGTATTGTCACCAGTCCACGACTTTCCATGCTCTGGTCATTATTAAACACTGACTTTCCCTTATACCCCGCGAAGTCGTTTCCAAGCAGTCAGATTAGTACCATGGAAATGACACCGATGATGCTCGTGCCTATCTTAAGGAAGTACAGGTGCCATTGGGCGCACTGTGGAAAGGTCAACACCACCCTCTCTCCAAGCACGCATTTTAAAACTCACAGAAAACCTCACAGTCCTTCAATCGCAAGTCCGACCTCTGCCGACATCACCGCATCCACACCAACGAGCGACCGTACCAATGCACCGTCAAAGGCTGCAACAAGAGCTTCGTCCAGCGCAGCGCGCTAACCGTCCACTTCCGCACGCACACCGGCGAACGCCCGCACGTCTGCAACTTTCCCGGTTGCGAGAAGGCCTTCTCAGACGTATGTTCTACTCTACCCACATCACGCTCACGCTCAGGTGCTAATCCTCACAGTCCTCGAGTCTAGCCCGCCATCGGCGCACCCACACAGGGACGAAACTGTACAAGTGTCCCGAGAGGACGTGTCACAAGAGGTAGAACGCACCTCCCGCTACGGCAGAATGAAGAGTGAAGACTAAACGATACCCACTGGGGTTTTGCGTGGGTAGCTACTCCCGCAGAGAAACGCTAGCGAACCATCTCCACCGCCATCATCCAGCCATCATGGCGCATCCGCAAATGCATACGCATACCCGTGGAGACGCAGCTTTTACAGAATCTCCACCTGCATACCAGAGTATACTGCCTCTGGCGGCGAGCGGGACCTTCGTCCCCGCGGTCTACATGCAGCATGACCTTCCTGTGAGCTACGCGCCGATACAACAGAGTATACCGCTCCCATCTGCGGTTCCCGTCATGGCAATGAATGAGACGCAGTACTCGCTCTTTAGCGAGCATTCTATGCAGCAGTTTCACAGCCAAGGGCTCGGAGGATTTTGGAATGCAGGCTTCATCCCGATCACCGATCACCGCGAAGAGTCCGGACAGGGGGCTGAGCAATGGTTATGAGTTCCCGGGTGAACATTTGCATATGGTGGCGCAATTTAACTGGGATTGGGGCGTTATGGCGAGGAAACTGGTCTTTTGGTTAGTCGAGTGGTTTTACTCTGTACTGGGTGTTTAACTGGATCATGCGCAGCGGACACAGGGAATGTTGGGAAAAGTAGAATAAACTGGAGCATTCCAAAGAGAGGAGTGGTGTTTGGTTTGACGCATTGGAGATTGGAGACTCCAGCTTCGATGTCGTAATACTCAGCCCGTCTGAACAGTGGCTAAAGTCCAGGGAGGAAGGCAGCTTAGTCGCTGCAATCACGTTTCATTCTCTCGTGGTCTAGATCATCCATTGTCTGAAAATCTTGTAATTTTGTAACCCATCTAACTCCAATCCGGTTGTATCGCTCTATATATCATGAAAACATTTACTCCATTTCAATGGTGGCAGGAGGCTTGCTGGAAATGTCGTAGAGGACACGGGAGACTACAAGGTGTTAGCACTCATTTGCAGAATTAATCGAGAAGATGAAACTTACCACCGTGGACCTCGTTGATGATGCGGGTAGCGCATTTGCTCAAGAATTCGTTGTCGAAGGGGAAGGCACGAGCGGTCATGACTGATATATCTTAGTACAAAGTCTTCATCGATCCCCATGTGAACTTACAGTCAGTGGTCTCAACAGCGCGGAGAATGATGATCTCAGCGTAGACGCGCTTGTCACCCTGTAAATGGGTTAGAATGAAACCAATTGAAGAATGTAACTAAACGCACCATGACACCGACGGCCTTGCTGGGATCCAGGGCAGCGTAAGCCTGAGAGATCTTGTCATACAGACCGGCTTCCCGGATCATGGAGATGAAGATGTGATCGGCCTTTCTGGCGATGTCGACACGCTCGGGGGTAACTTCACCGAGGACCCTGCCGTTGCATTAGTTCCAGACCCTTCGTCCACAATCGAAACAACCGATGAACCTACCGAATGGCAATACCAGGGCCCGGGAAAGGGTGCTTTGACACCGTCAGCAATTTCGCGAAGACCATACCAATGGCGGACAACTCACTCTCATAACGAGCTCATGGGCAATGCCTAGCTCTCTTCCAAGCTGGCGAACCTCGTCCTTGAAGAGCTCGCGGAGGGGCTCAATGAGCTTCATTCCTTGTCCCTCAATCATACGCTCTATAACCAGTCAGTAACAGAGGCCATGACAACTTAAGAGGGTAGTGGCACTTACTAGGCAGCGCACCGACGTTGTGATGTGTCTGGACAAATGCATGAGTAACAGACTTCCCAAATAAGGCACAACGTAAGGGGGGAAGTCAAACCTTGATGGTGGCGGAAGGACCCTTGAATGAGATACTCTCAATCACATCGGGGTACAGAGTACCCTGGAGGAACCACTTGACCTTGGCACCGGAGTGCTCGGCCAAGGCCTCAATCTTCTCCGCCTCCTCCTCAAAGACATCAATGAAGGTGGCACCGATGAACATGCGCTTCTTCTCAGGATCAGTGACACCCTTGAGGCCATCCAAAAAGCGCTTGCAGGCATCAACGACAGTCAGGTTGATTCCAAGGTGCTTGTTCAGGGTTTCAGCGACGGTCTCGCACTCGTTCAACCGCATGCATCCGTTGTTGACGAGCACGGCGTGGAACCGGTCACCGATAGCCTCCTTCATGAGCTTGGCGGCAACGGTGGAGTCGACACCACCACTAACGGCACCGAGAACGTGATCGGTCTCACCGACCAGCTTCCGAATGCGAAGGATTTCCTGGTCGACGAATTTGGACATGGTCCAGTTGGGATTGGCACCACAGATGTCGACGGCGAAGTTGCGGAGGAGCTTGGCTCCATCGGGGGTGTGCTGTGCTTTGTTAGATACTCATTCACCTTGGCTACTATCGGGCGAAAGGATCATACTGTGACTTCGGGGTGGAACTGAATGCCTATGCCATCGTTAGTAGATAGTTGCAAGGTTGCGCGCCCAGTGGGAAATTACCATAAACAGGCTTGGTCTCGTGTGCGATACCGGCATACTCAGAGTTGGCGGTAGTAGCGATGGTGTGGAAGCTCTCGGGCAACTTGACAAGCTTGTCGCCGTGGCTCATCCATACCTTGACGTGCTCCTCCAGACCAGCGAACAGCTTGTCGACGTGTCCCTGGCTGTCGAGTCTCTTGGCGTTCAGGTCGGCATGGCCGTATTCGCGAGCAGTACCGGCAACAACGTTGTCCTTTCCAAGTCGGTAGGCAATTTCCTGAAGACCGTAGCAAATTCCAAGAACGGGAACACCGAGTTCGAAGACCGCAGGGTCAGCGTGGGGGGCACCTAATGGTCGTTAGGTTAAATTCGTCATGTTGTTCGCATTGTGTCGCATACCGTCCTCGTATACACTGTAGGGGCCGCCCGAAAGGATCTTGAAAGAACTTTGTTAGTGGATTTCTATCATGCGAATCGGACAGAGGTATGACTCACAATTCCCTTGGGCTTGAATGGAAGGTCGGCCAGCTTCTGAGTGCATGGCAGCATCTCACTGTACACTCCGATCTCACGCAATCTTCTCGTAATGAGATGGGTCTAATCTATTAGCGCAAGTCTCCATGTATGCTGAAAGTCTGAACTCACATATTGCGATCCGAAATCCAGAGTAAGGATCGTGTCGAACGTAGCCGACGGAATCTGTTCTTCAGCCATTGCGACGGGGTTTGACGGAATGGTACCGGTTGAGACTGTCAATATTGAATGGTGATAAGATGTCAGATGCAAGAGAAAATTGTCTTGACTCGTCTCTTAGACCAATTGCCCGGAGCACAGCTGATGACTGCTGGTACCCAGCAGCGAGAAGGTTGCAACGCGGTGACGACGGGAAATTTTTCTGTAGGCGGGGCGGTGAACCATGCGGGGTTGAGCAATATGCGGCAGAAATTTCTTCTATTTTGGGTTATCAGCAATGAGCCAATCATCATCCTCAGATAAGAGAACGCGCCCTAACCTTAAGTGGTATAGCTCCCATGTCAGTTTGTCTGGTCATTTCCGGAGTACGGACTCACTTTCTTAACCAGAGTCCCATTCACGACTTACATGGTTCTTCCAAGATATGTTAACTAGGGGAACTGTGAACCAAGGATATCTCTTGCATGCAGACTACCTACATATATCGACTGTATAGGAGCCTGCTCAACTCTCAACTTCTGCAGAGTGTTCTTCTAACATGCTCTGTCGTATAAGGGGTTCGCGGACTCCCACATTCGCCTAGCTTGACCCCTTCAAGGCCATATCAACGCTAAACTGAAGCCAAACCGGCCACCTATCCGAGAACTTGGCATACTCAATAGTGTTCTCATTAGCACCTCACCTTGTGAAGGTGGCCTCACCTGGGTTATATATATCGATGAAAGCTATTCTTCGTAGGAGGGATGATGTGAAGGGTGAGAATTCCACCTCGTCAGACAAACGTATTTGGATATGACTTCGAATGGACTACTCTATCTAGCCCTCAAACCTTTCCCTTTTCATTGCTAATCGGCCGCGATCTTGTGTTGACTGCCGACACTGACCGGGTAACCGGCATGGATGCAAAGGAACCCCGCCTATAGTGGGAAAAGGTGTGAGAATAAACTGTGCGCCCTTTAATCTTTAATAAGACTTGACCGTGGCCCAAGACCTTGTCTAGATGGGATACTAGCGCAAGTAGTGCCTCTCATCGAGCTGGCGGCAAAAAGGCGGGGGAGGGGATCGTCAACAATGGGAAATTATTTGCAGTCGTCGCCATGGGATCGATGAGGTGTGCGTCTTCACTTCTGTGTTCGCTACATTCTAAAGAGCAAATCTGTATGAACTTCCAGAATTCTCTTCATTGTCGACCCTTTGTGCTGTTTCCCATATATTAGCGCTCCCTCATCTTGTCGCTTATCCGAAAAGACCTCGGCTGCGTATACTAATACAACAGTGCGCAATGCACTGACCGACCGCAGAGCGTTGCGATCAACAAGAGCTGTGGCAATGAACAGTGAAAAGTTGACCAGTTCCTCGGATTTGGAAAAGAATCCAGTTGTGCAACTTGAAAATCCAACATCAGATTGCTTTGTAACAGAACATGTCACCTCACATGTAATCGACTGGGACGGGCCCGATGACCTTGCCAGGCCAGTCAACTAGCACAAGCAGCGGAAATGGCTGAATGTGACCAGCCTTGCTTTTCTCACTTTCCTTACCCCGTTGGCTCCTCGACGGTAGCACCCGCCGAAGGTTTGGTTATCGAGAGCTTCAATATCACCAGCGAGTCGCTGGCCAGCTTCGTTGTATCTATCTACCTCGTTGGATTTGCTGTTGGGCCTCTGGCACTTGGACCCTTATCAGAGATCTATGGTCGTCTTTGGGTCTATCAAGCTTGCAATGCCGTCTTCATCGTTTGGAATATAGCTTGTGCGGTTGCTCCAAACATCGGTTCCTTACTAGCTTTCCGGCTTTTCGCTGGAATAGCCGGCAGTTGTCCACTTACGCTGGGCGCTGGCTCAATTGCAGACCTATTTGTCCCAGAGGAACGAGGTGCAGCTATGTCAATCTATTCAATGGGTCCGTTGATGGGGCCGGTGATTGGACCTATTGCTGGGGGATATCTGGCCGAAGCTGCCGGGTGGAGGTGGATATTCTGGGTCATTTCCATGGCAGTCAGAACCCTCCCTGATATAGGAGCAAAGCATCCTCTGACGTTGTCAAGGCCGGTGCGGTATTTGCATTCTCGCTCCTCTTTCAAAGCGAAAGCTATGAACCAGTTCTTCTACAACGACGCGTTGACCGACTCAAAAAAGAGACTGGTAACATGACACTGCGATCTAAACTCGCTCCGAACATCAGCGCCAGAGACAACTTCATCCGGTCAATCGTCCGACCAACAAAAATGCTTTTTCTCTCTCCCATCGTGGCGATCTTCTCCGTCTACCTCGGTACGTACGCACATGCACTCACCGACTCACCCCGCTGACTGAACCAGGAATCGTCTACGGCTATCTCTACCTCCTCTTCACGACATTCCCCTCAGTCTACCAAACCACCTACGACTTTTTCCGAGGCGCCGCCGGCCTCACCTACCTCGGGATCGGCGTCGGCTCCCTCATCGGCCTCCTCATCTTCGGCACCATCTCCGACAAAATCCTAATCTACCTTACGGAATTCCGCATGCTCCCGCTCATCCCAGGAAGCCTTTTTATCCCGATCGGGCTGTTCTGGTACGGCTGGTCCGCCGAGAAACAGCTACACTGGATGATGCCTCTCGTGGGGACCGGATGGGTGGCATTCGGCATGCTAGCGTCCTTCATGCCTATCCAGACGTATCTAGTCGATGCATTCAGCGAACATGCGGCTTCCGTGACGGCTTCGATGACGGTGGTTCGATCGTTGATAGCGGCGTTTTTGCCGCTGGCGGGACCGGCGATGTATGTGAAGCTAGGGCTGGGATGGGGGAATTCGATGCTGGGGTTCATTGCGTTGGCGATGCTGCCGCTTCCCGTGGTGTTTTACTACTATGGGAAGAGGATCCGGACGTATCCGTTGTTCAAAGTGACGTTTTAGCTTTTATTCATGGAGTGTGGGACCTGCGTACTAAAAGAAATACACACTGTTAACAGGATTGAATAGTCATGGACTAATGTATTCAGTTAACGCAGGCTCGATTTAAACTGCAGCTGGTCATCTATCATGGCCGTAACTCCGATAATTTCAAGTTCCGAGTACATCATCATATCACATCAAGTCATGTCTAGTAGACCCGTCAATGGGAGTAAGCCTTGATAGCATCAGCAAACAATCCCTGAGCCCACTTGTCTCCACCGTCAATCTCCTCCGCGTCCTTGGCATCCACAATCTTCGCAAGAGCATCGGGGAGCTCGGAAGAGAGAACACTCAGGCTCTTGAGAATGCGCAGCATATCGCCGCTCTTGCCAATCTGGTTAACCTTAGGTTCCTATTCCAACGGTTAGTCCCATGACTCCCATCGTTATGTATATTATATAGCGCAAAAGGTGACTTACCTTTGCAACGATATCAGCAAGCAGATCGCCCATGAACTCGGGGTAAGGCTGCGCAAGGGCCTGCATCACAAACTTGCTGTCTTCATCAGAAAGAGGAGCAGTGGCATGAGCGGCGTCGATGGCGCGATGAAGAGATGCTTCAACAGCAGCCTCCTTCTTGGTGATGGCGGTGTACTGAGCGACCTGTCCGTCGAAAGCCTTGACTGCGTTGTGCAGGTTGGTGTACTTGGTTGCTGCGTCGTTGAGGGTGTGCACGACGTCTTTGACAGTCTTAGGGACTGGAAGGGCGCTGGTGCCGCTGATGAGAGCGGTGGCCAGGAGGGCGCTGAAGAGACTCTTGATAGCAACCATTTTGGTAGTTGTCTTTGAACTGGTTTTGTTGATTTTTGAAGAGAGGAATGTATATTGACTTGGGGAAGCTTGACAGTGGGAATGGAGATAGAGGGATGGAAGAGGAGGACAGAGAAGGAGTGAGGTGAGAAGGGACTATTTATAACTCGTGCATTGCAAGGAAGATGAGGCTAAATTCTCGCTTAGAGAGCAAGGTGGATATGGGAAAACAAAGATGAGGTGATGGTGTCAACAGCGGATCCGTGAATATGCGTGGAATATTCCTAGATGGTGGAGTATGTTAATTCGTGGCATTTTTACAACTGTTAATATCAAGGTCAAAAGATAGTGGATCACTTCATGATATTCACGCAATACTCCTGATTATAGTAAACTGTGACACCGTCACCTTTTAATACAGTCAAGCAGGACCTAAATATCAAGACTCCCCTCTCACTTACTCTGTGAATACCAACCATTTGAGTGGCAGAGCTGGGTTATAAACATCCACCGTCAGGCCACTCTCAGAGGTCTTGCATTTTCTCTGTTATGCCTTTTACCCCTGGTGGATCACAACGCTCGATTGCTCGAGATACCCGAGCTTTAACAGTCGGGACCGGTTGGGCTTGCTGCTTCGATCCACTTCCTAGAAATTACTACAGGCTCAGCACTGCAACGAGGGGACGCTACGCAAACACAGCCATGTATGAGATATTGCTATAGATGAGATCTAGAGCCTTCTTGCCTCTACGCATGGTTGCATTGGACCTTGCTGATGTGAGCAGAGAATATAAGCCCCAAGCACAAGGCCATTGCTATCATGTTCGAGGATATAACTGACATGGGTGATGAGGTAAAAGATTCCACCTTCGGCCAGGGATATGAAGAGTAAGAGTTCACCTTGTCCAGGCAGTATACTTCCAGCGCTCTCGCTTTGCATCTAGAGACACGTGAATTGCGATGCCCGCGGCACGGATTGCGCACTGGCAATTTGGCAAATACCAGTTTCCCTCTACTCGGAAGATTCCTGTGCGATTGGATTGCGCATTTACCGATTGAAGGCATAGCCACTCAAGTCCACATTATACATGGTTGTTGGTTGGCTCAGCAATATATCCCTGCGGGTCACCACGCATCAGCCTTGACCGAATGTAATTGAGTCAGGCTTGGCGAGCGCCTCCATGCATTCGATGCAAATGGGAAATTCCCCGGTGCCAATTGGGACACCTGGGACAAGGAGACCCTGTCCGGTTCGAGCTACGCTTCCCGAAAACCGTTTCTCCACCGCAGTGGAAGTAAGGCAGACTCGTCTTGTTGTGTATGATGGCATTGCCTTACACAAACACTGCTGAAACTGGGCATGCGGTACATCGCTCAGATTGACGGAATGCGATCAAGTATCGAGGCAGTTCTGGTATGGGCTATTTACACATTTATTCACTTGAAGCTGACTGGATTCTTGATCTGTCCTCAATGGCAATTTAATCTGTACCAAAATGTGCGGTGCACTGGAGTGAGACATCCGTACTTCGCATTGACGGGAGGGAACTTGTAAAGGCGGCCCGGATTGCGGCGATTGCCCTCTAGGTGGGGAAACCCAAGATCAGAAAAAGCAAAGAAAAGAAAGGGCAAGACGACATCTATATCGAAGAAGGACACGAGGCTAATACACATTGTATTTTTCAAGGCTCGCAGACCAAGCAATTGTGCCCTTGACGGACGAGCAACCTTGGATTGCGTCCTTGGGGTTCAGGGTTTGAACAATTTGCGAAACGTGGACTTCCGAAGGGCTTGCTCGAACTAGGAAGCCTCGGCTCCAAGTGTCAATTGACCCCTGCGACCTGGTCGTTAATTGCAACGGTGCCATTGGCACCACTGAGTTATGGTCATCGAGTACGCACCGCTATTCGTAATTAAGCTGGCCAAAGGTAGCGTTGGCCTGTTGGTGATAGCAGGTAACTGGCGTTCTACCGCGAAGTAATCGACACGTTCTACCGGATTCTTTCATTTATGTTCAGATCCCAGTGGAAAAGCTCAAGATAGCATTATGAGAAAGACAACAGACATATCCTGCATCCACTCACACCACTATCGGCATCATCTTGTATTGAGTTGTACGCCATATATCCCGTTTTGCATGCTAGCCATCATATCTGCGCCAAAGATCCATTTGTGGATTCCCGCCACAGATCCATCATCAACATACATCCCTGGGATTATCAGCGCAGTTCAGTTTATCTTGTTGGAGCAATGCGTGAGATTCTTGCTACGCTAGGCCAACGAATATCGACTGCTCCACGAAAACGAGCTCGCGGCAAAGGCCACTTTCTCGTTTTATCGACCGCGGGACAAGCAGCGAGGCTCTATCGAGATCTCCCCTTGAAGCTTCTATTCGTTACTCGTTCAACTGATATTCAGCAACTGGCTATCAACAGCGAAGAAGCCCGTTTGATAGAGCGAAGAAACGACTCAGCTCAAATGTCCGCGGTCGTCACCAGGTGTCCGGCACAGAAGGACAGAAATCCAGGTTACGAGCGTTACAAAACTCCCTGATGACGAAGAGCGCAGCGGTCAATGCTGCACTGATAGACTTCCTGCAGTGGCTGACACTGCCAACCGAGTGTGCCTTATACGATGACCCTTTACCTCCCAGAGACGCAGACATGGCGGTGTTGACACCATGGGAGCTCATGATTTCCTCCTCTCCGCCACATATTGATGTATGGGCTGTTTACGTACTTCTAGCCAACCAGCCCTACTCATTTACCTTGCCTACCTAAGAAATTCCGGATCGTTGTGGACTTCAAGACTGCCAATTACATAGGCGACACCCCGGAACCAATGCCGGGCGTTGAAGAACCCACGGTGACGCCAGTACAGGTCGGCATTGGCACTAACTTTGTAATTATAGAAGGGAATAACATGACCATTGCATAGGGATTTGAACCTCCCAGGCATCATACTTACGAACAGAATATACGAAATCGTGGACATCCGAGGTGGCGCGCTGAAATATGAGCAGTCCGGAATACGCCACTGCAGAGATACAGTGTGCTGTCCATATGAACAACTGGGGGTGGTAAAATGGCTGACCCTGGTAGACTGTTTCGTATTACTTTACCATCATTGTCCTTTAGGTTCCTCGTCTGGACTTTCCCCTCCAGAATCTCGTCATCCTTGTAACACAGACAGACGATATTCTCAGCGTCTGCAGATCGGACCAACGCCCACCAATCGGCCCTTGAGGGAGTACTCTACGGTGCGAGCCTCGCAGTGGCGCAGTCAGTTCTTAATGGCGATAAAAAAAGGCTCCGCGACATGGAATCCGTCGATCCTAGCATGCTAGATTTCGAAGCCAGACATGACAAGTGAGGGAAAAGTCCAATCGATATGGGAGATCGCGGACCACAATGTAACACAATGTGCTGTCTTCAGGGATTGCCCTTGTCACTGCAAGGCAGAACAATTCCTGATATCTCACATCTCACGTATAAGATGAGCACATTGCACAGCGACTTTGGAATTCATTACTACCTGCTCCAGAAGTTCAGCTGCAATCTGGTCAATCACAATGCCCAGAATGCACTCTGCTTTTATCCTCCTCGCAGCTCTGGCTGCCACTGCTTCCGTGGAGGCAACCGACGTCCAAGTCTTCCAACCCGGCCCCACGACTCTTCCTCTGCACGCTGTCGAGGCCAGCGTCGTCGATGCCAATGCTGTCGCCACTACTCTCGCCATCAAGTGTGAGGGAAACATATATCCCCCCGACGCTCGCTGCGCTCTCTGCAGCCCTTTCACCATCACTCAGGGCCCATCCACCTACAGCGTGAGCGCAGTCTACTCAGCCTCGGCTGGTGGGGTCGAGGAAACCCACACTGTAGTACAAGACTGCGACATCACATCCTCCACCGAGTTGGCCACATGCACACTGTCCGCCAAGGTGGAGGTCTCGGTGCTCGGAAGAAAAACCATCACCACGTCCTCGGCGACGGTTACCCTTCACTCTGGCGACATTTGGTATACGCCTGTTGTGGTGACTGCTGGTGCGGAGAAGTTGACGGCGTCTCGAGCGACGCAGACACTGTCTGAAACAACGCAGACGCGGTCTACAGCGACGCAGACGGCTGGAAATGATGCCGTTGTTACTGTGAACGCTGCTTCAGGGAATATGGGACTCGGTCAGGCTGCCGTGGCGGCTGTCGCTGCCGCTGCAATAGGGCTTTTGTAGGTGATTCAAGGGGTTAAGTCACAAAAGTGCGGAGTACACATTGGTTACCTTTGAAATTTCACACGCTCTGTCGGTAAGCAGTTATGTTGATAGCATCCAGCAATAACCTTCGTAGTAAAGATTAGCACCATCCTTATAATGACAAGATATTTCTTTGTATTCTACTACTCATTTTTGCGTATCATCAGGAGCCCTGTGGTTAGATGTTATTGTCTTAGGCAGACTGTCTGACAGAATAGTCAGCCCACATCCATAGCAGCGTTGCCAACGCGACAAAGAAGCAGCCAACGTTCCATGCCGTTGCCCAGTCCCCGAAAGTGAGCTTGGCCACGACGACCAGAACAAAAAGCAAGGTCACAGCGAAAGGTAAGGCAATCTTCTGCAAACTAAATTCCCAATCTTCTTGGATCCGTACACCGCGGAATCGCAGCTCGCTTAATTCAGGGCAATGCCATTCGTCAAATCTCCTCAAGATATCACTGCGTTTTCTTAATTAGACTTCTGGCAATTGTAGAGCGCAGGTCATTTCCACACCCTATGGTACGGATATGAGGCTCTGATGATTCAATATTCCGACTATAAAATATTCGATATCCTGACTATATGGTATTCGATATTTATGGCGATAGGTAGTGCATGCGGTCAATAGTAAAATAATCCAAAAGTCCATTTTGTAGAAACAGTCCGCCTCACGACTCACGCGGCATCCAAGCATAGCTTCCCCCTTAAGTAAAAGCATCCATATCAGCCTTCTACAATCCACGGATTTTAAAATAACATTTCTTCCAACCTCAATTACACAACTTGCATCATTCTCGTCATGTCAGTTCCCCTTGGCTTTGATAATGTTCTCTTCATCCTGAGGAGCTGTCGTTCAGCATTCCGGTTCCTAGCATCCCCCTTTAGACGGAATCGACGAAACGAACAAGAGCGAACCTAAGAATGCAACTGGGGTTTGTTGGCTGACCGTTGGATGTTCTACCTTTCTCGTTACCACGTATGTTCCCTAGAAGTCACTGCTTGTAAGAAGAGGCCCTAGAGAAGCTCCTAGAGTCTTATCGCATTCTAACAATACCAAAGACTTTAGGCCGGTCGTAATCAGACTGCAAAGAAACCAGACAATGTCATCGGCTACTCAAACCTCCACGGAAGGCAATGTTGCATATTAAGGATTATGATGCTAGGCCAGTGACAAAGTAGCAGACCTTATCATGCTGACAGAAAGGAAGTGGGGGCATGACGATTCTATAGGTACAATGTCAGTGGACTTTATGCTTGGTGTTATTAATAGTTAATCAGACGCCTAGGGGCCATAGTAGCCAATATCAAAGATTTCCAATTTCCCAAATCCCTTGGTAAGGATTCTCGTGGTCCTGAAATTGGAAAAATGGATCACGAGTAACGTCCATGAAGGACACATCGCCTGGAAACCCCAAACCCGACCAGCCCAACGATTCCCGTGGTAGCGGTCCTTGACTTGGGCCATTGTCAGCTGCGATCGAGTTCGTACTGCTCCAAGCCTCCGATTGCGAGTTTTCAGAAGCCGCCCGATGGTGCACTGTACTCGAGCACGGCGGCAGCGCTTGACCTCCGTCAGAAGTGTCTACGGTCCTAGCAGAGTGATGGAAGATCTCGGTCTCGACTGTCGTCTGGTCCGGATGCTTCTGCCCGGGGAGCTGTAAGAATGACGGATCAAAGAGACCGTTTCCTGGCGAGGCGAACGGAGTCTTGGTAGAATTATAGCAAAGAATGTCCCACATCAATGACGTATCTATTGATAGCGTCCTGCGTGGTGAACGGTGATCACCGGAATGTGGACTGACGGCGAATGCTGAGTGAATGAGCCCCTGGACCTTCTGATGCTGTATTTCTGTTAGCGGACGAGCGATTGCAGTTGGTGCGGACTCACAATTGCCTGGACTCTCGGCCATTTGGTGGCCAAGTCACTCAAAAATCTCGTGCAAGTGTCCAGCTTCCGTTGGGCGGACTCCCTCACTGTGGGATCCGCGGCACGGCAGTAGTAAATGAGAATCGTGGCCGCGATCGCCACGACATGGCCAAGGAACGGGTCAGACAGCTGGTATTCCTTCTCGGTGATCATGTCAATCAGGCGAGCTGTCCATGTTGTATGGATGAGCGCCAGCTCCGATGATGTCTTCCAGAAAGTGTTTGGTACTGCGAGCTGGGCAGACTGCTGGGGTCGCCACGAGTAAAGAAAAGGGTGATTAAGGACGCTGTGCACTGCATGGTAGGTGAACTGGAGGTACAGCCAGGGACTCCAGTACTCACGAGCCCGGTTTAATTCTTCTGGCGAGCGCTCCTGAAACCTCACAGAATCGTATCGATGTGAGGTAGGAAACTTTGTTTCAATGTCCATCAGGTGAGCCCCGATGATGCAATAACCCGAGTCCACCGACCAGGGCGGCGTGGGATCTCCGCTGGCCCAGTGCGAAACATAATGCTGCACTTCGCTCCAAAGAGTGGATAGCTGCACCATATACACCCAGATCCCCCCCAAGGCATCGTTTTCCTGAGGGGTCAGGGGTGGCTTCATCCCCATTTCCCGTGGAGAGTCGATGTTGACAGCCATGTACTTCGGGTTATGAATGTCCCGGAGCATATTCAGCTGCATGCTGTGGGGAGCGTATTGCTGGTTAAGAAGATGGATACTCCAGAACACCCTTCGTCGTTCCTCCAATGCTGGCGTAGATTCGCCTTCGTGCTGCTCGATGTCAAGACCTGCGCATTTGGCGAGGTTTGTGGCAAGACCAATGTGTAGCCAAGCGAGATGAGTGTCATTCGCTGAGGACATATTAACGAGGTGTCTTTTTTGTCAGTCCAGGATGGATTCTCACCAATGTATTCAGCAAGTGCAATCAAACAGAGACATTGTAAAGTTGAAAGGTCCACGGTGCCCTGGACAATTCGAAACATGACATAGCTGCGAGCGGCTTCGGCATATTGTCGACACATCTGGTCTGTTCGTCCGTCCAGAAACGGATGGTTCGAGTAGCGCAGCGCAAGGCTGAGTACGCCAAATAGCACCTCGCTGCGACATCGTTCCGGAATGGAAAGACTATCCGGAAGGAAAAGCCACAGAGGTTGCTTGTGGCAGTATTGAAAATAAAGAGCAATACCCTCCGCGACGATCTCCTTTGGTGGCATCGCGAACGGCAACGTATCTGCATTCTCAAGACCTGTCTCATCACTAGGATTCCCCGGCGGCATGGACATTTCCTGCGACCTGCTTGATTCCGACGTATTCTCGCGACTACGGAGCCCGCGAGAGTACGCCTTGGGGGTTTCAACATGGCGGCTGGATCTGCAGCAATCAGCACTCACTCTTCCCAAGATAGGAATGACAGCCATCCGCACATTGACCCTTCCAATATTGATTCCATCTTCTCTTCAAGCTGTTGCAATCGGTTCTCCTGCTTCAAATTAGTCGGCTCATTCTTCGCTTCGCAGGCCAGCCAGCCGTACCAAGACCCGGTCGCTGCCGGGGGATCTTTGCAACGAGTCATAACTCCTGCTATACTGGCATGTTTGTTGAAGTCGCGTGCAGCTGGAACATGCCGGTCTCTCGCCCGGACATCGTGTCTTCTTCCGCCTACGGAGAGTCGGCAATCAACGCTTCCTACAAATAATCGACTCTTCTGCCTCAGACTCACCTACAGTTTTCACAGGCTTGATGCGATCTCTTGCTAACACGATTATTCATCAGGAGCACCTGCAGAAGGGCAGAGAACGGATGATATAAAACACGCTGATATGATATGTTACGGCGTAAAGGTGCATTTAAAGCCGAAGGAGCGCGGGGTATCGGCTTCTGCATGATAGCAGGCGGAGACTAGCCGATGGCCAGTTGGCACCGTTGTGACCCACCCAGGGAAACAATACCCAGAAACGGAAAAGGCTATCAGGACTCTGCATCCTTAATTGTGATTTCTTGTTCCTTATTTATTTTTGCTTTTTCTAGATCAATGTAATGTACCTGAACATAGAGTTGTCCTTCAGGACTGCATCACCTGGGTAAATAAAAATGCCTCTAGAACATTGCCGTGGCCATCATAACCAAAGGGAGCTCTGGATATAGCAGTTATAGCACTGAACTTACTAAAGGTATCCAAGAACATCGAATCAGATAACATTGCACGGATCAAAGCTACCATTCCAGTTCAGCAGTTCCATCCACTGAGCATGCTAACCCGGAACAAAAAGCGATATCTTCTGCAGTTGCCTGACCTGCTGAATGCTGCCGCGCTGGCCAGATCTCCCTGTTCAGCCTTCGCTCCTCATCCCGGTGACTTCGGAGTAGGGTCCTGACAGTATTTTGAAAAAACAACGGCGCACTCTCCAGCTCAGGGTGAAGTTGACCATTAACAAACACCCCAGCATTCAGGTTCTTCTGGGCAGCATTACAAAGGCGTTTGTCCTCGTCCAGGACTCTCTTGAAGAACGAGTCAATGTATTCAAAGTCCTCATCCGAGGCCTCTACGTGTCGGTACACCTCGTATTCCATCGAGCAAGTTGCTGCAGATGTCGGAACGCATCGCATCATGTAGAAGAAATGAGGCCTGGAGTGAATTGACGTGTTGATGTCAGAGAATGAGGTTGTTGAGAATCCCAAATGAAAAGGAAGCAACTCACGAGACTGTCATGCAGGCATTGGGAAAGTAATAAGTACTGGCATTCTGGATATCCTCTTCCACTTTATCCGACTTCGGTCGGGAGAAATGCTGAATGTGCCCCGGTGTGGAAACGGTATAGTAATATGACAGATCAACCAGATTTGCCACGTCGGGATGCGCAACAGTGCAATGGTAGCATTCATTGTAGTTGTCCGCCAGAGTTTTCCAGTTATAGTCGCCGTTCATCTGCCATGTATGGTCAAACTTGTAGTGGGTAAAGTCGAACCTCTGGAATCGTTCTTGTCGGTCGACACCATAGAAATCTTCTTCCCAGGGGACTGGATCGGGAGAAGAGTCAAGGTTGACCCAGATGAAGCCCAATGCGTCAGTGTGCACATGCACAGGGAACAAGCTCTGATTCTCTTTCTGGAACCCCGGAACGTCATCAAACCTGGGGGCTTTGGCCAGCTTTCCGTTAAGGCCGTACGACCATCCATGATATTTGCACGAAAGAATCTTGACGTTGCCCTCGTCCTCCGAAATGAGTGGAAACGCACGATGGCGGCAAATATTGTGGAAGCCATTCAAGTTACCCTCTCGATCAAGGCACAACACAAAGGAGAATCCAGCTTCCTCAAACCGAAGGAAGTCACCGGGCTTTGTGAAGCGCAACTTGTGGGTAACCAAGATCCATTTCTTTGAAAAGATAGCTCTTCGCTCCAACTGGTATACCTCTGGGGAGTAGTACCAGGAAGCTGGGAGGGCTTTGGGTGGCTCATCCGGAAGCTTTTTGTCTCCTGGGTCAGAGGGTTTATACCCAAACCAAGACGCAACTGTAGCAGCCATGGTGATAGTTTGATTGTTTGCTGATAATTTGACTCGAAAGAGGTCCACTCCTACTCAGCCATGACATAATATATGTCTTCCACAGGTCGTGTCCTGAATCCATTCAAGGTCCCCGATCACGCGACCAGATAACGGAAACATGATGGCATCTGGCTCGGCACTGAGCCAACGGAGAGCGCGCCGTGTTATCGCAAAGTCAAACTCTCGTCATCAGGTCGTTGCCATCAATGGACTGGTTAGTGGTCATAGGTTCAGCCGGTCCGTCGGTGTTGACTCCGGTCACGGGATCGGATATTAGGAGTTAGGCTTCCCTGCATATCTTCTAGGAGAGGAGATAAGAATTAGTGTGGAAAAACGTTATGATGCAATTGAGATCATCCTCCAGTACTCATTGGCCTTCAAAGGATGCTTCTTGAGATAACAGGGGATGTCTGGGTCACAGATTAATCTGTTTACATTTCTGGAGCACATTTCCCTACAACAATACACGATAAGCATTAACCTCCTTTTGAGCTCCATTCGAGCTGCGTAAGCAGCTCTTGATCTCCCAAAAGGCCCGTGCATATTCGTCAGCTGCCAACTTTCCCCTCGGCTGGCGCCAAGTTCAAAATGTATGGAGATATGGGCCCTGCGGTGTTGGATCTATATGGATAGCTGGCGCATTCTATTTTGGACAGTGACCTTGCCGGGAGCTCTGCTCGGGACTTGCTACGGCTCTGGCCTTTAGTGATCCGCCTGTATGAACACGGAGTCCTCCGATCAGGTGCACCCCAAAAGGAGGCGTGCCACTTACAATGATTTATCATTACTTCAAAGCCACATGACACTGTTTCCTCTCAGTAAAGTCCCTACTCTCCTCTCCTGAACACAGCTCACTACACCATGGGATCAATCAACGCTGCTGAGAATCCCTCAAAATTTATTCTGACAGCAGAGGCTCTGAACAATGCTCTTCCTGATATGCACATGGCCACGAGAGCCATTCATGCTGATGATTTCGTCAGTCCTCACCGTGCCATTGCCCCCGGCATGCATACCGCGGTAAACTTCCGCTACGCACGCGATCCAGATGAGTTGGTACCAGAGGAGAATAAGGATGTAAGACCCTTGGCTTAATCTTCTATTTTTTGCCGCCCTAACGGGACATGGCAGCCAGATGCGCCTTTTGATTCCCACATATATTCCCGCTACACAGCACCCAATTCCAATCGCCTGGAGATCCTGCTGCGCAGCCTCATGGGCGGCGAGGTGATCACGTACTCAACTGGACTCTCAGCCTTTCACGCGATGCTTATCCTCCTCAACCCCAAGCGGATCTTCATCGGAGACGGTTACCACGGTTGCCATAGTGTTGTGGACATTATCAACAGACTGACAGGCATCCAAAAACTGGACCTGACGCAGATCGACCAAGCCGGCCCGGGGGATATCATCCACGTGGAAACACCACTCAACCCTACCGGGGAGGCCCGCAACCTTGCCTACTATCGTGCCAAAGCAAGCGAGAAAGGGGCCTACCTGACCGTGGACTCGACCTTTGCGCCACCCCCGCTGCAGAACCCCTTGGACTTTGGAGCCGACATTGTGATGCATAGTGGAACGAAGTATGTGGGCGGCCATTCCGATATGCTTTGCGGGATCTTAGTGATCCATCCCGATCGTGTTAAGGAGGGATGGTTGAAAACGCTGCGTACGGATCGCCAATACATCGGGAGTGTCATGGGGAGCTTCGAGGGCTGGTTGGGGATCCGGTCCGCTCGCACCATGCAGCTCCGCGTGACGAGACAGGCACAGACGGCGGAAAAGCTTGCTGCGTGGCTACGGGAGCAGCTGAAAGACCCGGCGTCTGCTGTTGCAAAGGTTCTGAGCCATGTCTCACACGCCTCGCTTCAGGAGGATGACTTGAAAGACGGCTGGCTGAAGAAGCAGATGCCTGGAGGCTTTGGTCCCGTTTTCGCTGTTTGGACGAAGAACCCCGAGCATGCGCGCCAGCTACCCAGCAAGATGTTTATCTTTCAACACGCAACCAGTCTTGGAGGGGTGGAGAGTTTGATGGAGTGGCGCGCTATGAGTGATGCTCGCTGCGACCACAGGTTATTGCGGATCAGTTGCGGTATTGAAGAGTTTGATGATTTAAAGGCTGATATCCTGCACGGATTGGAGTCGCTATTACAGGATTTTCCCTGAGATAGATTACATCTTTATCCACCTGAATTAATTTGGTTACTATTATACAAAGCTGAGAGACAGGCCTGAAAAGTAGACAGATACTCAGTTTGTAAGATCTCAGCATAATTTACTTCAAAATTCCAGCAATGAAAAGCAGTGAACTCCAACACCATAGCTCTACTGACTCTCTCATCGGAAGTCATATAATCATATTGATGTCCGATCAAGTGACCGGGGAGAGCGCGGGGAACGGAGAAGTGCCCGATCACATGAGCGTATCTATGACGGGGGACGGATTCAACGCCGACTGCAAGTGGCCAAGATCCAGCCCCGTTTTTATTCCCCCTGTTTATCCAGGTGATTCATTCTTCTGATAAGAATATCACTAGTAATCTATCTCCGCAGCAGTTAAGTCACGTGGACGGGCCGATATCCAGGAATCTGTGGTCAAGAGGGGATCATGTAACCCATAAAGGCGGGGCCAATTCATGATCCGCAGGTGTCATTACATATCTTCGTGGCAAATACACTAAAGATGGACCATTTCGACGTCGCAGTTGTTGGACTTGGAGTCCTTGGAAGCGGAGCGGCGTACTATGCTGCCAAAAAGGGCGCCAAAGTGATTGCATTCGAGCAGTTCGAGCTGGGCCATGTGCGCGGCGCTTCACATGATACTTCGCGAATTGTGCGCACTTCGAATTTTGCCCCCGAATATGTGGCCTTGGCCAAATCGGCCTACAAGGACTGGGCCGAGCTGGAAAAAGTTACCGGCTACGAGATGTTGACGACCACCGGCGGCGTGGTCTTTTTCGGTCCGGATTCACCAACATCAGCCAGTGACTTCACGAGAAGTCTGGATACTCACAGTGTTCCGTATGAGCTGCTCGACGCCCAAGAGGTGAAGAAGCGATGGCCTCAGTTCAACATCCCCGACAGCGTAACTACAGTGTACACAGCCGACTCTGGTATCGCCCATGCTGCAAAGACCGTCAGCACTCTGCAGTCTCTAGCGCGATCCCACGGCGCGGTTTTAAAGGACAACACCCCGGTGGACCGGGTTACCCCCCAGGCCACTGGCGGTGTGATAATCGAGACCCCCAAGGGACGATTCCGAGCAGGCAAGGTGATCCTCGCAACGGACGCATGGATCAATAAGCTTCTCGCTCCCCTATCCGTACACATCCCCGTGACCGTGATGCAGGAGCAAGTGACATACTTCAAGCCTACTGAGGCCGCTGCTTTTGAGCCCAACCGATTCCCCGTCTGGATCTGGTACGGGGCCAACTCCTTCTACGGATTCCCGTGCTACGGCGAGCCAACCATCAAGGCCGGCCGGGATTATGCCAACAATCTCATGACGCCAGAGCAACGCACGTTCGTGCACTCGCCGCAACTGCTTGAGGAGCTGAACTCCTTTATGAATGGCTTCGTCCCCGACAAGGATCGCCAACCGCTCCGCACCATTACTTGTCAGTATACGATCACGCCTGATCGACGTTTTATTATCAGTCCACTGGAAAATTGCCCCGATATTATTGTTGGCTTGGGTGCTGCGCATGCGTTCAAGTTTGCTCCTGCTTTCGGTCGTGTGCTCGCGGAGCTGGCAGTCGATGGCCGGACAAATGAGGATATTTCGCAGTGGGGGATTCCGAAAGGCGCTACTCGGAGCGGCAAGCTTTGATATGATGGCGAGCACCTGGCTAATTACTGATCTTCATGCTTTCGCTTGATTGTTGTGGAGTGGAATCAACTACGCTGGAGCTCGATATTGAATTCCATTGTTTTAGACAACCGGATTGGAAGGCCTTATTCTTACATGGGATAAATCCCGCCTAGCTTCTTAGACTGGCGCTGAAAGGTCAGCTGTATGGTTCGCTCAGGAAAGAACTAGCTTTATATATGGACTGATCAATATTGGCACTAGGCCTCTGAAAATGATATCCATTAATAATGAAACCACTCCCGAGAGCTCTGTACGTTGCTCTAGGGGACATGATTGAGTCCCTCCTTGAAGGCTTTCGTCCATGAAAGGGGAAGAGCTGTACATGCGCCACAAACATAAGGGAGCCCTGTCCTTTAAGGTGCCGCAACAGTATGAACCCTGAGCATTCTCCAAGCCCTCAACCTCCTCCAGTATAGGTATCAGCAACATAACACCATGGCAAAGAATGGCAAAGAATGGCAAAGGCCTCACCCAACCTCCCAGCTGGACGAGCACAACCTCGCAAAAAGGTCCCTTGAATCTCTATGGATTCTTCATTCTATTGAAAATGGACTGCATCTGTCCATACTGATCCGCGTTCAGGTTGTTGTACAGAAGGCATGCATAGCCACAGGGACTGGCCGGTTCGCCGTCGATAACGGCTCCTGTGAAACCGAATGGGATTGCTCTCAGTTCAAGAAAATTCAATGGCATGACCAATACAGATTAAGAACGAATTGATTGCAGTTGTTCTTGGTGTGAGGCCTGTGACGGATGCACGTGACGCGACACGAGGCCACAACTCGCATAATGTTGGCAACGTGGGAACAAGTTACACCTCAACGTCAGTCTCTGTGGACAGCTTTGACGTGGCCGAATATGGCTCCTCCGACAGAATTGACCCTTTTAGATATACCGAGCGAGATCCTATTGCTGATCTTTTACGAAACTTCGACAATCCAGGATGCTTGCGCTCTTGCTCGGACATGCTCGCAGCTTCACGGACTGTTTTCACCCTTCAATAATAAGATCAGTATTCTTCGGTCGGCGGCCAATGTTTCCAGGCGGCCAAAGTGTGATTCTGGGGAAGACTTACCTGGTATGATGGCCCGCAAAAAGCCCCTGATTCTTACTAGCTAAGATAGGTGGTAGCGGTCATTCGAATACCGCCCCTCAACTGGGCGTTTCGAAGCAGCCAAAATCCCAAATGCGGCCTGCTGATGGAAATAAATTACGGTCCACTATCGGAGGAACTGACTGCTTCGACGATGTGGAATCTGGGAATAATACAGAGACGCCAATCCAAGAGCCGTATGTTTAACAGGGCATTGCATGATTTTCTTTCCCAATTCCAAGAACTAGAACGACGCTGGAGAGGATACTTTGAACATGCCACCGAGAACATCCTGGCAAGCGCCGCGAGATTGCAGCTGGAGATTCTCCACCGTTCCGAGTCATCGTTTGTCCCTACCGACCTTTCGAGCGAGACGACGGTTATTGCGCTGGCCCTTCACTTACTTCTTGTTGTGCGGGATATTAGTATTGTGGATGACTTGGCAGTCCCCTGCACTGAGGAGGTGGTATTTGCAGATGGCCCTCTGATCACCTTTGATGGCGGCTACGAGTCCAACAGGCTTATTCCATCTTTGCGGGTCCACAAGAAAAATGAACAAGAATGGACAGAGATACGCCTGGCCGAGACTAGTCAAAAACCGAGCTATAGTCTCGATGCCAGTCCGAATGTCATGATGGAGTATATCATTCAGTCGTCATTTCGGCTCTTAGATGCGCATGATCCCCGCCATTGGCCGACAGTACTGTTTATAATTTTGATCCTTTATCTCTGCTTGCCCGACATGTCGCCGTTTACCCCCTGGATGTCAGCAATCAAAGACGCATCTGGGCCGCTATTGCCCGTTCTCAAAGACCTTGCCCGATATTACTATATATCCACAGATGGTGGGAGGTTAATGAGCGACTCCTGGGCTGACGAGGACTTTGCGGCTCGAGTCGGTCATCATGAAGAACGTATCAAATACGCTCGCATGTTGAATGAGCTCTGGCTCGAAACAGGTAGATTGCAGATCCTGGTTCAACAGTCCCCCGCTAACGACTACAGATCGCGGAGAATGGGCTAGCAGAGATATCAAGCAGGGCATAGACGGATTTCCCGACAAACTGGATTACTTTGCCCACGGTTGTGCAATTTAGGTCTCCAACTGACTGCTGTTCTTGAGCCATCAACAAGAGTTGATCTGTCGGAGAAATCCCTATTCGGAGACAGACATACCGGCCTGAAAGTAATTTCATGTGTATTGCCGAAGCAACCTGAGGACAATACATAAGATAATCCCATTCAATGATTGTTATGGAAAATAATTGGACAAGAGGTTGAGCTGATTACATGTTTTTCTCAAGCACAGCCAAGGTATGGTTGGCTCTCCTCTTCACCTCATCCAGAGATTGGATGTGGCTGGCTTGAGGAGGGACAACTGCCACCATATTTGGAGGTATGTAGTTGTTCAATACCGCAAAGAGATCAATCAAACTCTTTTCAGATGCTTCGTCATAGCGTTCAGTTCCATGAGCCTTGTAAGTGTCAAAGAACTTATTAGTGAGCTCATCCAGTTCGTTGTGGCTTTCGGTCTTGATCATAGATTCCAAAATATCGCCGAAGACGGTGAGGGCCCCTCCGCCAAGGGCATAGGGGGGTGTGGTGGCGTATGCAAACTGGGCAACACTCAAAACCCATCCGGACCAGATCTGGTAGCCGGGGCGATAGATGATCGCACATTTACGGGTCGCGGCGTCGACAACTAACCACGCATCCTGTCCATGATAGGTACCAGCGTAGACCTAAAAGGTATCAGCAAGATTCTCAAAAGCACATAGAAAGCGGACATACCGTTGGTGTTGCAGCAATGAACTGGGTGATAGCTGCTTGAAATTCGACCTTCGTCGCATTGTTCCAATTTCGGCCCGCGAAACCCCAGTCACCTTTGTGGCGATCAAACATGTGCTGAAGGCTACCCACGGGATATGTGACACTAGCTGGATCAAAAGCCATTGAGAAAGTGCAAGAGTTCCACTAACTTAAGAGGAGGATGCGTACTGCTTGTAAGTGTTCAGAACCATTGGAGTGCTGCTTGAGCACCTCATATATACTGAGGCATTTTGAGCCCTGTGCATCTTTGAGCCCTGTATGTCTTTGAGCCCTGTACACCTTTAAGCCCTGTGTATTTTGAGCCCTATGTATTTTGAGCCCTGCATATCTTTGAGCCCTGCATATCTTTGAGCCCTGCGCATTTTGAGCCCTGTACATCTTTAAGCCCTAGGTACATGTCTTTGAGCCCTGTGCATTTTAAGCCCTATGTATTTTAAGCCCTATGTATTTTAAGCCCTGTATATCTTTGAGCCCTGCGCACCTCTGCCTTTGAAGTGGTCGACGAACCCGGGTGCACCATCCTAGTTCACCTAGGTGGCTGTGGGTATTGAACCATTCTCTGGATTGGGCTGTTGATTATAGCACCAAGATTATGCCTTATACTTAATGTAAGTCCTTTTTCCCTCCCTTACCATGTCTACCTGCATTAACCAAAGAGCATGGAATAGACCTCCTTGGAATTGGCGCTCTAGGAAGTATTCAAAATTTAGTCTTAGCAGGAGCCCCATGAACCCCCAGTCCCCTTGCATGCATATCAGAGATATAGGACGGCCTATTCACGGGGAATGCATGGCAGCAGTGCTGAAAGCCACGCAGGAGAGGTATCCCAGCGTGGGTATATCCCTAGTTCCAGTCTTCTTTCCTGGATCTATGCTTGTCAAGGACAATGACATCAATTTCTGGCGTGATGTACAGGAGCGTTGATTAGCTCCGAATGTATATGGTGCACGAATTAACAATCAGCCACTTAGGAAGCTACCTAACCCCAACAGTTCTGAAAAGTAGGGTATAATTATTAATTTGCTTGTTTTTTTGAACTTAAGAAGTACTACGTGAGATTCTTTTTTCAGCTGGAGCTGATGCTCCAGTCAGCAGGATCACCATATAGGGACTAGCATATATCATAGCGCATCAGCTTCACAGTAAATACACCTAATTATATGATATCTCTGCATTTGTCCCATGACAAACATCTAAATGAGGATGAACCCATAACCCACCCTGTCGCAGAACATCGCTCAAATAGATAGTTAGAAACCCTTTCAGCAGGCACTGAGTGATTTATTTAGTTCTTATTATGAATATTGGAAAATTGAGGTCAGGGAATGATGTGGTCTTCAGTGATTGTGACCCCGGGAGAGCAATAAAGTAAACATCTTAAAAAAAGAAAGAAAAAAGGAGAAAGAGAGTATTTCTCCCTGGATGTACATTACAATTGAGGATCTGTGCTTAGGATATAACCTTGGCTTGGTGCAAGGTATATATATCGCGGACTTCAATCCACCAGACTGCTTTACTATAACACTCAGACGAGCACCACATTACTATTTGCATTTTGAAACAGGCTCTGGGCCACTAGCTACAGCGTCCAATTTTTCTCTTTTTCTCTTTTTTCAGTTTACATAGTGTAGCCTTATTTAAATTGTTTTACCTTGTAAGACAGGCATCCATATGTGATCAAATGCCTTCAATACCTAAATTTTCCCTTATAACGTCGGGCTTTCAATGCCTACACTGTAGTTCCCTTTGATGGCCTTGTTTCCATTGATCGCCCACGTGCATAATAAATAACCCACGAGGGCTTCTTGCCCGTACTTTGGGTGGGGTCCCGGGGTCCTGATTCCCGACCTTGGGCGGTCTATCCCCCGGCCACTCTACTACGGCCTACGAGTCTCAGGTAAGACAACTGAAACCACAAACCATACCTACTACTTACTACTCTCCATATCTATCGCTGAACCTACATTGCACATTCATCGTCAGATAATCACATACTGGATTGCTAAGACAATGGATTCGGACTCGGAATCATATGAAAAAACAGGCGGAAAACCCTCAAAGGACATACTTGAGCCCGCCGTCCTCTTTTTATCAGGCCAGTCTGTCCTGACTGAGGCTGCAACTCCAACGCCGCTTTACCAATTGAAGAGTGACATCACGTCAATCGCAAACAAGGACTCGTCCGTGACACTTGAAAGAGTCGAGCACGATGTACCTGAGCTCGAGACTGAGATAGAGGGCGTCACTGCTGGCACGGCGCGAAAGAACCATCTATTCTACCTCGCACACCCTGTGAATGCGCAATACCGGACCGACATACCTTCTAGGTATTACATTACTTCTGCGGTACCCCCGATGCTGGGCAATATTCGCCTCGAGACTTCTGAGGCACGGTTCCAAAGGACGTCCTTCAAAGCGATGTTAAGCCCGAAAAGAACCGCCTCGGATAAGCCATTATTTGACGAGGGCACACAACAACTCCTATTGTTTGATATCTACCCAGATTGGAAAATTGGTCGCAATTGCTATAGGTGGAGCGATTCCAAAGGCAGACAGGCCGCTATTGAAGAAAAAGAGAATGACAGGTATAAATTATCCATTACGAGAAGTATGCCGCAGGAGTTGAGGGATGCACTGGTTGCTACATGGCTGTTAAGGCTGTGGCACAACACGGCCGAGAGTAAACAAGCAAAAAGGGAATGTGAGTTACTATCGAATTCCTGTATCAGTTACTAGAGGCTTGTCTTTTGGCTTACTTCTCTTTCCAGTCTTTGAAAGCATGACATCACCAGAGGCGTATAAAGAAAGCATGAATCCATATACGCCGAGGCAGTGCATAATTATGTGAGATGAGTTAGGTAGTAACTGTGACTGCTGACTACATGTTCAACTCCTCATAGATGCTCTGGAACTCCTACTGCGGCTCATCGGTCCGGGTCTTCCTGCTATCTCGCGCATTCAATGTACTGTTGCACCAATATCCATGCATTGGTTTGAGATTATTAACCATTCAGTACTATCTGCCTAGTTTCTATTACTATCATAATGATTATAGTATACTTGCAAGACAGTTGCTGTTGAATGGCATTGTCTTGCTCACGCAGCCATCGTCACCTTTTAAGAACCCCCTCACTGCTTGGCCAAGTAGCCTCTTAAACCTGCTGGATACACAAAGTGGAGCTTTGTGCCTGGTCATAAAAGCCAGTGAGAATTACGTCCAGGGTGGCACAGATAAGTAGGGGCCAAGGGCCATATGAGCAGTTGTTGCGGGGATACGGATAAAAGTGTCTTAGACAGTGTTCCACGGGTAAGTTACCTTTTTGGTTTTCTGAAAAGCTTTGGATCTGATGAATTATTGGGCGGGTGCTTTTGGCCCCAGGAACAGCGATCTACATATCGTCCTGAGTTCGACAAGACCAATCAATGATCCGACTCGATAGTTGACCCACTGAATACATTAATATCGCGCGGCCGGGGAGTGGCGCAGTTACTGCAGACTACGTCATGTAAAGCCATTAGATACTCCGTAAAATCAACCTAATGCCTAGGAGCCATAGTCAGTAAAAATGTCCAGCGTCCTGGGTTTCTCTTCTCAACCTTTCTAGAAGTCACATCATGGCCAAACGGGCTATAGCGGCAAACCTCCACTCGGGATGAGAACGGGATTTATCCCATGAGCACCAAGGGACACGGCGGGAAGACATCCAGAAACGGTATATAGGGAGACTCATTCATGTACCTAGTTAGCCCTTCGCAATCAGTATTATACATTATTACTTGCATATGTATATACATATTTGCCTTCACAGCAAGATGGCCGAGTCCAGCGACTGGGAGAACTACCAGCTTGCGGAGATAATTGCGGAGTTGTAGCAAAAAAGGAAAACAAAAAAATGGACTCGCGGGGAATCGAACCCCGGACCACCCCCATGCTAAGGGGGTATTATACCACTAAACCACAAGCCCAATTGTTGAAATACGAAGGCTATCAATTGCAATACAGGACAAGCAATAATGTAAGTCATTGTAACTGTGAACTTTTCCGGTTTCACCAGATGTTCGTCCATCTAGTTTCTATTTAAGAAAAGAAAGAGACAATGGGTGAAGATTACAATATACTTAATCGCAGATATCCTGCCCATAGGTCATTTAAGAAGTGTTTCATCAGACTAAGCGAAGCTGACAGTGCGTTGCTGACGGACCGCCATGAAAATATATCATCTCTCCTAGTATTGGACAGTGCCTGAGAATTATTCCACCCCTTTAATGCATTTGTGTTTTATGCTATTTAAAGCATGTGGAAAGTCCATCCATACCAGTACAACCTAAATTTCAGTGCCTGGGATTAATAGCTGTCAATCTAGCTCAATGTATTGAACCAGCACAACGAATGAATTTGTCATAGACAAATGGTTTGCAGCTAAGATCACACCCAATAATCGTTTTCTTCGCCGGCCCCATGAATGGTTCGATTGATTCTCAAAGCACGAGCACCTTGTAGCAAGAGCAAGTTGGTGAGCTCGGGGTTTTTCGAGCGCATGGCGATCCGCAGTGCCGTAGCACCATCAGGCCCAGCAGCATCCGCAGCGTAATCAAGAAGAAGACGCGCCATAGCCACCAATTCATCTCTAACAACTTGTGAATACGGAATCACTAAGTGACTGGGGTCTCGAGGGTTCGGGTAGCGCCGACTCTTTCCCAACCAGATGGCTTCACTTGGCTTCGCAGCCCGCGAGAGGGGTCCTATATCATCGCAATCCACTATCTTCGGGTCGGCCCCAGCTTGAAGGAGAATTTCGGCAGTGGAGTAATGATCGTTGAGCACTGCGCTATCTAGCGAGGTTGTTCCATCCCACCGGAAATTCACATCAGCACCTTCCGCCAACAGCAGGTGAATTAGCTCGTCGTTGCCATAGTGGGCAGCGACCCAGAGTGCGTGTCCGAGCTCTTGAAGCAGCCGGGCAGGGTCAAGAAGCCGTCGATGTTCAGCATCCCGCAGCAGGAGCTTAACAATCTCTGGATAGCCACCGCGCACCGCAGCAACCAGAGCTGGATCCATTTTTCGGGTATTCCAGGGATTCACCCCTCTCTGCAGGAAGAATTGCAATATGGGGATATGACCGTACCATATAGCTCGATTCAGCGGCAACTCGTAATCTTCCTCCTTTAATCTCTCGCTCATGCCACCTCGATCCAGAAGGAGCTCGACAATGTTTAAATGACCGTACCTTATCGCAGTTGTGAGGGGATGGTGAGTAAGTGTGTGTGTTTGACTTTGATCTGGAAACCAGATCGAGGATGCGTAAAGATCAACCCCTGCGTCCAGTAGGCTCATGAGGGTAGATGCATACCCCCCCTGGGCTGCCCAGTGCAGAGCGGGAATTTTCGGCTGCTCATGGTATTTGTATAAGAAGGGATTGAGCAGGGAGTAGAGATGGCGGCTGGTTCGAGCCAATGCATTGATCGCGCCCTCTGAATGCAACTTCTTGGCTATTGCAAGGATGATCTCGTTGGGCAGATCAGAGAGTGAGAATATCATGGCGATGTTGTTCAAGAGGTTGAACTACCTAGTAAAGTGTCTGAGTCTGACTATGTCTGACTCGGAGAAATCAACGGTAGGGGCTGACTGATCCTGAGGGGACGAATCTTGTCCTAGTTCATACTAGTCTCTAGTGCCCTGTATCTGATGCCCCACCAGCCCAAACACACTCTGCTGGGGTCTCTCCTACCGGGGTTGATGCATGATAGGACTAATTGATGCGCAGTAGTCAGTCAACTGGCGGACAGAGCTGTGGTTGAACCGGTTCAACCGCCACATCCATTCTCTTTAATGCTTGGCTGGATACCTTGGTGGGTCTGGCGGACAGTCAACCTTTAAATCGCGCCTTCTCCTTGAACTACAATGAGACATCAGTGTACAGACCCTGCTAGCTCTGCAAATTAACCAATTATATTCACATGTTAGTTTTTAGCCCTTCTGCTGCTCCCACTTGGTCTGGCGCTGCCCATATCATAGCTCGCATCCCACTCCCGAGGCCAAGAGGACCTTATCCCCTCGCGTAATGCCAAGCATATAGTTTTTTAGTATTAATGTTCTAACCAGTAAAAAGAGGTGCTAAAAAGGACGTGCTTGGCATCTGCTCCGGCCGCCAGAAGGCAGCAGACCACATTGTTGAAGGCTCTAGCTATCTAATCACAACTCCTTTGCAAATGGTGCGCTTCAAATGAGTACAGATGATGCTTTACAAATGTCTGGCTGAGCTATGTCCGACTCAGATATACAGGAAAAGTCACAATCTACTTCTTCGAGAATTCATACTGGTCCCCCGTCCTTACGGATAGAGGGCCACTGTGGAGGCAATCCGCGAGTTTAGTATAGTTTCTCTGTGGCACGAGACATACAAGGCCGCTATTTAGACAGTATAGCAATCCCCACCACAGCGAACTCACCACTCCCTGGTACTTCGCCAGAAAACCGCGCATTTGGATAAAGTAGAATCATCCTCTGGAGATGATATATCGTATGACTCCCTCTAGCTTAATATATAAGGAGGAGCGTGGTCCTCCCTCATCATCTCAAATCCATCAGTCTTAAAGCAATGCCCGATTTCGTTGATCGCCTTGCCGACACAGCCTTTTATCTCCTCCTTTCTGGTATCATTATCTTCAATAGCTTTAATCACTATGTTATTCGCAAAGAGTCTGTTGATTACGACACTTTGCTGTCTTACAACATCTTCGCTGGCTTTTACATGGCCCTCTACCATCGATGGAAAGCCACTACCCGACAAGTGGTTCCAAATCAGCCTCAACGAAACTAGTCTCAACACTCGTGATGTCGCCGAACTTGCTGAACGTACTCCAATCACTGTATGTGAACGGACAGTTATCGCAGTAGGTGCCTGCGTTGGCATCGCCTCATATGTTGTCACCTTTGCGAGAAACATCGCTACAACCATCAAGGATCTGTCCAACGGGGGAAACCGCAACGCTATGCACGGCACCTTTGAGGGCCTGAAGTGGACTTACTACTCTACTGGCCGCAACTGTGATACCACTGCTCAACATGATACCATTGCCGGTGCTATCAAGAAATACCTGAACAATGTCGAGCATAACAATATTTGCGGTACTCAGTGCCTTCGCATGGACCATGGTGGAACCTGGGATGGATGGTTGAAGCTGGGCCCCGTTGGTAGCTTCAACGAGAATGCCTACTGTGGTCCCTCCTTATCCTTTGACAGCTGTCTCTCCGGGGGTAACAACGATATCTGAAGGCATTGACCCGGACTTATCGCAGCCAAACGAGTCCTGTTGGGACCGAAGTGGCCATTTGACTTTCTCTGGTCACCGTGGACTGGAATCAATATACATGGGGGCGTGAGTATCGTTTGACTAGGCAGTAACTGTTCTGCTGATTGAACTCCAGAGGGTTTGTTCCGACTTTCATAGATTAAATTCATATTGGACAAGACGGCTGCGACTATCTATAATCTACCCCTGTCTATTCGTAGTAATCTGTTGATAAAACACCAAATTGCCACATGTTAGCAAACTTCTCACAAAGAGAGGTTGGCATTATAGAAGCAGTGGTATGCTTAAAAGTTTCTAGCATGTTCCCAGGAGTGCATAAAGGGCTCCCCAACTTATATGGATTGGAAAACGCCCTGCAAACATTAGCTGAGCCAATAAAAAAAACTTCGACAATAAGGGGAAATTACAGGGTAGTATCACAGAGAATCAGCAGCTTATTGCAGCCCCAGGCAGGGGCTAGCCAATAGCGCGGCCATAACTGGTTATTAATAGTCGAACTAGCTCAAAAACCAAATACATAAGGTTTGCGGCGCTATAGCATAGCCCTCTCAAGCCTCCGGGGTTTGAGACAAAGGGGCCCATACGGACATCTGCTGACTCGCTGAGATCCACTTGATTGAGTGCAATCCTTTCTTAACTATCCGCACAAACGCCCCGAGATATGCTTGACAAAAGGTAAGATTGGATATTCACCAAACCACTGTGGATTGCTACGCCAATGAATAGTATGGGGGTTAGGCGACCTGCAAAGTATTCGCCGAAATTTCTCTCCATAGCAGGATGATGAGCGTATGCTGTGCTCTCAGCCCCTCAATATGACGCGATATTGATGCATATACTTTTTGAAACTAGTCCCTTACAGGAGGCCTTAAAACTGATTCCTGCAAGTTGCGACCAGACCTAACGAGGCTGGATAGAAGGCAGTCAGCGGATGGCGATCATTGTCATGTTGACTTACATACCACGGCTGATTTCGCTGCAACTCTAAATGTTCCCCCGACACTTATGTAGGGCTGATAGAAAACATCGTCCATGCTTTCGGCCGTTTCGTCGCGAAACACTTTGTGCCAGACTTCAAGCACTTCTTCAATCTGTCGCCTGGTCGTATTGGTGCACTTTATCCGCATATAAACAGGGAAGTACTCGAGAACCCCCTAGCAGCTGCCAAGGGCACGTCCACGAGCGTCCCTGCCAGGTATTAAGTCACAAGCTTCTGAGAAGAGCTTACACCGAAGCCGGAGCTGTAGCCTTGGCTCAATCTTTCACCTTGGCATCGGGAGTGCAAACTAAGAGTAAAAGATGCTATCGTTCCAACTGGGATGTGTTTATATTACGGTTATATTGCACATATTGACAGTAAAGGTGAATCCACGGTGTGTTCCTGGGCGAATCGAGACGCTCGTGTACCCGAATACTTCAACGTGACAGCATTGACTTCCTCCAAATCGGATCTTCTACAATTAAGCCGCTCATATCTGGTTCTCAAATTCAGGTTCCTGTATATATTATACAATATACTATCCCGATGCTCCAGACTGGACCCGCGTATGCACTGACCAAGTGTGGACCTACCAGCCATCTACCATCGGGTCAATTGCTATGGCACAGCCTAGCCTGGTGGAGACAAGCACGAAGTATTACAAGTTTTTTTTTTTATTTTTTAATATCCTCCTGCCTGAGAGAGTACGGCTCCTGCTTGAATGATGTGGCTAGATCTCAGGAAAGCAGATCCACCTGCCGTATGGCGAGTTTCATGCATTCCTTTAAATTATCAGTTTTTTTGATCTTAGTAGTCTTTTTACTGGTGGAACATGATAGACATTTCATCCATTTGGTCTGCGTTTACATCTCCTTCTGTGATAGGTCAGCGTGCAAGCCTACTTATGGTAACTGACACCAGCAAGCTAATATTGATCAAGCCAGCACACGCCAGAATAATTTTAGAAACATTGATCTATGACTATCTGAAAACCCCACAGACCAGGGCCAGCCGACACCGATTAAGGAGATCAACTGAAGAGCGGAGAAGAAAGTAGGATCGGAAGACAAATCGACGAAAGGACAAGAAAATGACGGAAAATCAGGGCTTCGGATCCATATCGCAAAGTCCGACACTTTCCAGAGATTTTAGGGAAGTGTTAATATCTCCAGGATAGTTGTACGCGAATACGACCATCACAATCCACATCAGGGTTGCATCAAACACATACAATGTCCACTCGTGTTTCAATAGGTAACCGTCATTGCCCATGGCGAATTCGGCCACGCGAAACACTGACCGAACCATAATGAGGAGACCCACAACGTGCAGAGTACGCAAGTGAGACTTCCAGGGAATATCAACAGAGGTAGACAGACCTCTCGGGTGCCGCCGCATCCGACTCTGGAAGACGATCGCTGTGATAAGGAAGAAGCCGAACATGATGACCTGAATGAGGAGACCACCGACGACAATCTTTCCCTAGATCGGCTAGAGAGCTTTGGACCATCATCCCGGCAGCGCCTTCCTGCACCACAAAAGACAAAACATCCCCAGTAACAAACACTTTTGTAAGCCAGTTGATGCGGATAAGCGAGTATTGTTCTCCTCTGACGGCTCGGATGATGCGACCCAGGACCACGTAAATCGTTGCGGCAAAGAGCGCAGGCCCCAGTAAGATATATACGCTTTGGATGCAGTAGGGCATCATTCGGCCGGTCTTGTCGTGGGCGGATGCTCGCGCACAGTAACCGACAAATTCAACTGAGGAAGTTAGGACTACGTTCAAGTGTTTGGAAAAGAGTGGGCGTCAGTGATATTACTTACAGAACCCTCCGAGGGCGAAACAAATGCAGAAGTAGGTCTTCATTCGCCATATCTTCCAGACGTGGTAGAGAGTAGCGGCCAAGAAGAGAAGCGCGAATATCACAGCAGCGGCCTTAGAGGGAACGTAGTGCCAAAGATAGTAGCCTTTGTATGATTGCAGTTCAGCCATTGTATCACTCTGAATTGGGTTCTCAAAGGGTGGGTATGGCTCGAGGTAGGCTATACACCAGTAAAGTGTATATGTAATCAGTGAGAGTCCAGTCAAGGATAAGAAGAGTGTAACTTCATAGACATGGCTGATAAAGACTTTATATTGGGTTTTATACTGAAGAGTAAGTCACTATGCCGTGAGAGGTGATTTCATTCATCTTGTACTAGCTCCGTGATATGTCCACTTATACGCGTATAACTGTCCCAGTGTAGGCAGCAGTGGGACTCCAGCAACGCGAATTAGAACATCAGTACCGAGGCCTTCTTGATGCGCCGCATCTGGAGATTGTCGACCACTATTTGCCATCTGGTGGAACTAATTTATTATTCTCAGGCAATTTTTCAATCATGTATGGAGTTGAATGACTCGACTCTAGCATCAAACCAAATTATGTACCAAACACCGAGCGAGCCACCAGAACATGACTTGGGGCTCGGTGGAAAAGTATATCTCACGCCTACGTAACTGAACTAATGCAGTATCTATACATAATGATTTGACTGTGCGCTAGGGAAGCCGGTTCTTATATGCCCAATCTGTTGGCAGTTGTTGCGCTGTGGGTGCGCGTTCTAATTGCCTTATTGTTGAAGTAGAAACACGATCTGTGTCTGGAAAACGTTCTAAATGATACATATCTATGCTTAACGTTCTCCCATTTCTTTTGCCATCCTTAGTGAGGGTCAGTATCAGACACGTCACGGTAATCAACAGCTAGAGTTCCTCCTCCCTCGTGTGAGCAAATCTTTTGCCAGAATATTTGCATTAATAAAAGCGGATGAAGACAGTTCGAGAATGCTCAAGTTAATCTACCTCACCCTAGTCTCATAGCGAGATATTCAGACATTATACTGCGCAGCGAGTATTTTGGCCCTGTCATTGGGATTGGTCGAATTGTGTCCCTATTTAGGCCGCGCAGAGGATACTGGTACCCGTATATTAAACTGCTGAATCAGGTGTACTTGCCTAGAGTATATGCGATTGAATGTCAGGGCCCATCGATAAGGCTAAGCCCTAACAGGTTATGAGAATAAAGGAGAATAAGACTCGCAAGGCTCCAAAGTCCAAAAATAAGCGCGCTAAACCCCCAAGTCGTTTCAAATCTGAAATAGGTATTTTACCCCTGGAGCTGGATACTTAGTCGCGTTAGAAAAGGGTCTAACCAGGTAGTTGAATATTATCTCTCTAAATTTTACTTCTCTATTGTGTTGCCTGAAAGGTTAGGACCGGATATAATAACCCCATTCTTACAAGAGTATTGCCAGCGACTTTTCGAAGATTTCGCAGTCCACGGTGGTCCTTGATCGGTGACGTTTCATATTTGAGGCTGACCACCCGATGTTATTACAAGTTGCTGCCGTGGACTTAAGATTGCTTGACGCCACAGCGGAGTCGAACCCGCTCGAGGCATCCTGTTTCTCAGGTGGCTTTTAGCAAGAGCTTCCAAAAAACCCTCCTGTTCAAAAAGCGTCTTATGATTTCGTTTTTTCTTTGCTAGGTATCTTTCATAATCCCACATTTGATAGGATTCTTCCTCGCCTCACGCATACGAATTATTTGTACCATGCCATCTTTCTCATTTTCGTACCACGATCCGCATTAAAGAATACCGAGTCTATACCGTTTTTTATCCTCCGTCTATTGTATCACCGTCACGTCTGGATTAAACTGCCGATCAATTGACCCTCTCGACGTTTCGTCACTGAGACACAGTCCTTCGATTCATTTGGTTCAGCACTCGAATATGTTCCTCCTTCAGCGCCTTGAACTCGGCGTCTAATTGACTGTGCCACGGGTATAGAACGAAGACCTGGAACGCGAGCGCTGAGGACGCGACTGCGAAGTTGACAAGGGAGATTCCGCGTGTGATGATCATGTTTTGCTGACTGACTGTCAGAGCTGAGTCGAGTATATGCCAGTATATTTGGCATGATTGAGTTACTTACAGGAGGACGAGGTCAGAGAAACCGGTAAGGTTCACGATGCTGGGTACGAGTCGATGAATTCGGAGAGGGAGAGAGTCTTCATAAGTCTGGGTGTATGGGAAACCCGGCTTGACCTTTCACGTGTGTATGGCCCCACTGTTTGCGGATACCTTAAGCTTGGTGGCTCGGAAGATGCCTGTCAGGACCCAATGATTATTATTATTAATCTGAGGCGAAGAAACAATGCCCTTTTCTCATGGTTCTGCTTGAAAGTTACGCATGGTAAATAGGCTTCTAACTGTTTTGTTATTAGGTCTTCACGATTAGGGGTTGACTATGCTTCATACCTGTCTACACAATGTAGAGATGCGCACTGATGCGCACTGTATTTGCTGCCCGCTCCGTTAGATCCAGGATAACCATCGACTGTCAAGGCCAGGGACGTTGCGGAACCCTTCAATATGGTGGAGTCCGGAGATGGTTCGTATCTGTCGGATCCGACAGCTAAAGGTCCATGATTGGTCCACCGGGGGGCGTCTTCGGTCCTCAGCGTCGGCCATTGTCGGAGAACGAAAATGCGCCGCCTCCATAGTTTGGTTTATTTGGTGTATTTTATTGTTGAATTCTCCGCTCCTCAGGGAGATAGTCCTTGGTTTAAGGCCTTTTAGCCATCAAATCGTGAAGCGTGTGGATTCTAGGTGGGGATAGGATGCTACCCTTTGGTCTGTGCCTCAAAATATATATATATCTCCTCCCACAATCCTAACCAACGAACCGAACGGATCATTGAGAATATTTCGAACAAAACAAGTGCTTCGATGCTCCACAAGAATCGGTGCCAATTATTCAAGTCCAGAGGAATCCTCGTCGCTTTTGACATTAGAGAGCTTCTGATTAGCGATGCTTTTAAACATGCTGATGGACGATTGATACAGAACCCTGCATGCAAGTAATCTCTACGACATGGCCCGCATTTGAGGATCGAGAGCATGTCGAAAGACATTTTGTGAAGCATTGGGCACAATGCAACGGTAGCCTTTCGAATACCGTTCTCTGGAATGGGAGGATGGGAGAAGAGCAGGTAGATGAGGGGTGATTGAATCGTAACTTCGTAAATGAGGTAACTGCTCTGAAAGACTTGAGGATCCTCAACAAAGTGGAACAGGAATGACATTGCGTAAGCATTTCGCATTTGTCTTTCACACCCTTCATTTTCCACACTGGAACTTACCATTGTCGCGTTATGCGAAGACTGCAGATGGATGGATCGGGCTACCACGCAGCTGAAGAGAAGAGCAAAGCAAACCCCGGGTCCTCTCCAAACGTCCCCAGCGAGGATCCTTTTCTCTCCAGGCCGGAAAGCGAGGACATTGTTGACATCTCGACTGCGCCATACATATAGATAGAATGCCACAGTTACCTTCCTGATTAATTAGTGGTGGGATACGCATCATGTCAATGTCGTCACGTTGCTTATGATTCATGAATGTGAGCAATTGAAAAAGGTCCAAGCATTAATCTTTACGCTAATGCATGAGACAACAGTGCCAAGTAGACAACCACGATCATCCCTGCATACCTAAATGAAGCATCCATGTAAATCAAGTTTGGATCGAATACTGGTCTAAATGTCCTGAACGTGAGGTGGTACAGCCATACATAACTAGCGAGATTCTAATCTAGACCGCATATATCACCACTTTGCAGGCAAAATGTATGAATAATGCATGCATGGTCAATTGTTAGTTGATGAGCTCTGTCTCTTCAGAACAGGGATGCTTTGTCATGACCAGGAGAGAGACGCACTTCGGATCACATACCTCTTCTACGTCTGCATTGAAGTTGAGGAGAAATGGCCACATTGTGGCCTGTGTGGATAAGCATTGAAAGGTAATGTGTGATTATTGGACAACAAATCATGAATCTAGATTATCCTACACACAGCGAGTCCTTTCGCAAGCCTAGATCTCAGTGGCCTCCACCTATCTACTCGTTGTTGAAGGGTCAGTCCGCCAGCATCGAGTTCGACAAATTAACTTTCAGAAGACACATTCATCTTGCATAACAGGATCTGGTTCCATCGCCATCCATGTGTAGACGCTCAAAAACATCCATGTGTCACATGTGCAGGCAGTCAAACCCCGTTGTCGTGTGCTCCAGTCTTCTGCAAACGCCTAAAGAAGATTCAGCCAAGATGATTGGCAAAATATCGAGTCTTCAGCCCTTTCGGAAGACTCCCGAGCTATTTGCTACTTATTCAGGTAACTATTATTTAGACAAACAGCCTACGGGCACCACTACATATGGTGCCTGAGCACTGAATCAAAAATAGCAGTACAAAGAAAGAACTGGGAGGTATTCATCGCAATGGGCAAGAGAAAGGAGCGCAGGGGCAAGCTTTCTAGAATATTAGAAAATTATTGACAAGCAAGGGAGATTGGTCGGCTCGATCAAGAAATTGTATATGACATGTCAAATTTGTCTTTTCTTAGCCTGTAAGCCTTGACGTCTGGCGAGAACAGGACTTGCTTAGTACATTCTGCTTTTGGAGAGAGTGCGAGATTTGTCGATTAAGTCAGCGGACAAAGGTTTTTCTTGTAACATAGCAAACATTGACAGAGCGAGCTGGCGTTGTATTTGGATAGATAAGTGGACGGAATTGGATGGGAAGTATGATGTATCACATTCGACAAATGATTGATCTCTACCCACGGCAATTGAACCTTGCTTCAACCTTATCGGAGAAGGTTCAGGCCTCCCTGGATTTGTTTAGACAAGGCTGTAAGGCCCAGCAAGGGCAAGCCGGTAGTAGTAGTAAATTGCGCAGATTGGCAGGGATTTCGATCCACCTTCGGGCAAACACGCCAACACTTGCATCATTTGGTACCTGTCAATCACGACACGCATCGATAAAGAACTGCAAACTATTTATGCTTTACGCTCAGTCGTTCGATTCTCGTAGTGATCAGCATCTGATCCTCTTCCCCAAACTACCGCTAGAGCACCTAACCCCTCCAGATCGGCCACCCGCGAATTCTGTGGACAGGTCTATGGCACAAACATGATGCTAGCGTATCAATAATATGATGAGTGAGCGACCGAATATTGAATCTTTCGGGCCCTGCAAAGCTTGATACAGAAAGAGGGTGTATGTGGCCGATCTGGCAGCGATGACAGCCGAGTATTCCGTCCGGGAAACATTTAATATGCAGCACCGTTTCCATCATCGAGATGGCTTTGGTGATTCCAAATAATTGCTGCAGCCTTGCCCGTTCTTTAACGGTTGATTCATCTTAGCCCTCGTTTCTTTCCTTCATCGCTTCTGCAGAACATTCGGACAGCCCGCCCGCTATGTCACTCGATCAGGTATCCGACAATGGCACTCCTGGAGACTTTCAACATCCAAACCAGAATCTGCGTCGGTCTATTATCATTGCGCTGTACTTTGCCTTTATCCTATCCACAGCTGCTGTTGTCTTGCGCCTGGTGGCCAGAAAGATCAATGGAACGAGGCTGTACCTCGACGATTATCTGATTGTCGTGGCCTTGGTATGATCGTTATCCTAGAAATTGCCACCACATGCTGATTATGGCCAAGTTGTTCAAATATGGATGCTCAATAGGAGTGACCATTCGTGAGTTGTCTGCGCTCCTTTGCGAGTTCGACTACTGACCACATGCAGTCTTGTTCAATGGCTTAGGATCGCATATAGACATGATTCCTCAGAAGAACCTGGAAGTCTACTACCAGGTAAGGTGATTTGAGTTTGCACAAGGTCAAATGCTGACGTGACCTGGCAGATCGGATGGTCCAACTCCTTCGTGTACACCGGATGTATCCTCTTCATCAAGCTCTCGATCCTCACCTTATACAAACGGCTCTTCTCCGTTCCTCGCATGATTATTTTCGCCAATGCTATCGCGGCGTTTGTCATCCTCTGGGCTCTAAGTATATTCCTGGTCGGCGCCTTGATGTGTTTGCCGGTCCAGAAGTTCTGGAAGCCTTCTATTGAGGGATCGTGTATCGACTCGGCCAAATTCTATTACGGACAGCAGATCCCAAATATCTTGACGGACTTGATCATTCTCATTATGCCATTGAAGGTTGTATGGGATCTGCCAATCTCGAAGACGCAGAGACTTTTGCTTTCCGGAGTGTTCATGGTTGGCGGACTGTACGTTGCGTGCCCATGTGCAGATGTGTTGTGCCTCGATCACTAACCGCACACCAGGACACTGATCTTTGATATTGTACGATTGGTCGCTATGATCGAGTTCACCAAAGCTGGGCCCGATATTACCTGTGAGTAGTAATCTGTCCGCTGTCTTGCTCTTCCATTTAACCAATCATCTGCGCAGACAACCAAATTCCCGTCGTTGTCTGGACATGCATCGAAGCGGCGGTAGGCATCACGGCGGCCTGTCTTCCCAACCTGAAACCTCTATTCAAAGTCGCCCACCGACAATTCTGGGCTCGGATCGGATCGCCGCGGCCGGAGTCCAAAGAGGACAATTTCAGAAGATCCCACGGGCTGTCGGAAGCCACTACTCTTTACGCTTATGCCACTCAGTCTCAGTTCAGCCATCACACTGAATGCACTAAAGCATAGTCTTTACTCTTCCTCTCTTTGTCCTTTTTCGTCTTTCCCTTGCGGCTCATTTCATTTGCCGAGTACAGCCATACTCGCCTTTCGTTCACTTCCCTTCTCTTCATTGATATATACTTTTCCAATTATCATGTACAAACTATACCAAGTGGCGGTTTGAAAAATGAAGTTGAAATTCAATTATTATACATTTAGAAAACAAAGGCATGCCCGTCAATTCGAAGGGTGGGAGGCCCACCATAGCATACCCGGCATGCCGACATCAGCTCCGAACAAGCACTTTCAACAGTACCCGAGAATTTCCCGTTCTACATTCTGCCTTAATAAATTGTGCTAATATGCCTCTCTCACTTTTCGTCATACTATGACCTATCCATGAATATGCCTATCAGTCCTATCCATGTTCCAAGACCTACGTCATCCCGATGTCACCTCCGGCCATTCCTATATATGCCAGTGGACAACAGAAATTCTTGACCTTCCTCTATTTCAATAAATACTGCACTCAAATAACCTCCACAATCAGATCATCATGCCCGCAAAAAAGATCCTCATCATCCTCTCCGACGCCAAATCGTTCCCCTTAAAGAAAACCTCCGGCTCCGACGCCGGCAAAACAGTCGAACAGCCATCCGGCTTCTTCCTCATGGAGCTCGCCAAACCTCTCCAGAAAATCCTCGACGCCGGCTACGAAGTAACCTTCGCCTCACCTAAGGGCCTAGAACCCGCCCCGGACCCCCTCAGCGAATCCCTCCCCGCCTTCGCAGGCAACTTCTACGAACGCCGGCGCGAGAACGAGCTCATCGACCGCATGAAGCGCGAGAACGGCTTCAATCGGCCCAGGCCGCTGGGCACCATTAGCGACGCGGAGCTGGATTCCTTCGCGGGGGTGTTCATCCCAGGGGGACATGCGCCGCTCTCGGATCTAGGTGGCGATAAGGAGGTTGGTCGGGTGCTGCGGCATTTCCACGCGAAGAGCAAGCCTACCGCGTCGCTCTGTCATGGTCCGATTGCGTTTCTGAGTACGAAGCAGGCGGGGGATGGGTCGTTTATCTATAAGGGATATAAGATCACGTGCTGGAGTGATGCGGAGGAGAAGGTCATGGAGACGCTGTTGGGCGGGGAGATCAAGAAAGTGGAGTCCTCTCTGCGCAATGAGGGGGCTGAGATGGTCGAAGGGCTCGGGGAGAAGGTTGGGAGTATCACTATTGACCGGGAGTTGGTGACTGGGGGGAATCCTCAGGCGGCGAATGCGTTGGGGGATCAGTTTCTGAAGATGCTTAGTGTTCACTGAGTGTATGTGCTTGTACTTCCCGGGCGGCAGGTCCCGAGTGTCTCAATTCGATGCCGAAACCGTGATAGCCCCTTGCTTGGAATGGCTTGGAAACGGAAATGCATCGGAATGTGTGCGGTGCGCCATCCCGGTTTCTATTTTGGTCTCTCTTATCGTATCCGTACGTTATCTTATCGTCTGCTTATCGATAAGCCATTTCGGACGCCAATCATGTTTCCTCTTTTGGCGTTACAACTGTGATTTTAACCTCCTAGATCGGTGCTGCATGACCTAGACATCATATAATTACTGAATTAGCTGCTATCTTAAGCTAAAATTAATAAGTACGACTTGCAGATATACTGTTCCTGCTTTCAATGGTCAAGGGTTTAATTTCTCTTCTGGGCTGACGAACGGAACGAATGCGGAAGAATGTTGCCGTCAACATGGCAGATGATCAAAGATATCGCAGTCAACCACTTCATTTATCGAACTCTTAAAGCATATTTAACAATGGACTTTCCTGTTGTTGGTAGTGAGGAGAGGGGATCATATGCTACCTGCTATTCGATTTCCTGATGACCAAGTTTGGTATCAAAGAAAGTCACAATGCATTTCTCGACAGGCAGCTTACTTCTATACCTGTTCGCTTCAGCATCATGTACAGCAGCGTCCCCTCTGTACATTCAGCATCCCCAAAGAACAGCACTCAGCACAAATACCTGGAAACCATCAGCATCCCCAAAGAACAGCACTCAGCACAAATACCTGGAAACCATCAGCATTCACAAACCCAACTACCGACAGGGTCACAACACCACATGTCCTTGAGCTGACCAAGATCAACAACAAAGGCAACGCCCGCAGCGCAGTCGAGCTCAACAGCCAGGTTAGGACTGGATCCGCAAATCTAGTCTCCGTCGCCGAAGGAGGAGGGTTTGCAACATCAATCACAATCGGCAACCAGACATTCGAGGTGGTCATCGACACAGGGTCCAGCGATTTATGGGTCGTGCGAGATGGCTTCACATGCATCAATCCTGGAAGGAGGCGGGAGGTCGCGCAGTCAGAATGCGAATTCGGACCGGCATACTCGCCTAATACCACATTTCGTGAAATTGGCGGCGAGTTTTTGGATATCAAGTACGCAGACGGGGAGGTCCTCTCCGGCGTCATTGGGACCGAGAATGTAACATTGGCCGGCATTACGGTCAACCAGACTATCGGTGTGGTCGATTATGCGGGTTGGTACGGCGACGGTGCCACGTCGGGGTTGATGGGTCTTGCGTATTCTTCTCTGTGGGTTACTCGGTCTTATTGTTATGATTGTCAACTGACGGTGGGTACAGCGCAAACGCCTACACAACCGATTACACGCAACCAAGTCTCTACAACCCCGTTTTCGCAACCATGTACGAACAGGGTCTCATTGATCCCGTCTTCAGCATGGTGATGAACCGTAACGCATCTAATGGAACGGCAGCCGGGTATCTGACACTTGGTGGATTGCCGCCCATCGACATCAAGGGGAATTTCAGTACCACGCCTATCCTGATCACGAACATAAAAGGTTATCCGAGGGCTTATGACTTTTACACTGTCAATATTGATGGAGCAACGGTAGGCAACAGTAGTTTGCCAGAGGCTGGTGGCGACATTCAGTATCTTGTAAGGATGGACCGTTCCTGCACTCGGGCCAAACTAACAATCACAGGTCGACTCAGGAACGACAATGAACTACTACCCAAACTCGATAGCGGACGCTATTAACGCGGCGTTCATTCCCCCGGCGGTCTACAATGCTTCCGAGGGGGCGTATGTCGTGGATTGTAACGCGAAAGCGCCAGTTCATGGTGTCACGATTGGGGGCTCGACATTCTACATCAATTCGACGGATATGATATTGCCAGGCGGGACGGATAACTCGGGAAACAAAACCTGCATTAGTGGGATCAATGCTGGAGGAGATGTCGGGCAGGGTATATTTGTCCTGGGAGGTACGTTTTTGAGGAATGTGGTGGCAGTGTTTGATGTCGGGGCTGCAGAGATGCGGTTTGCGGCGAGTGCATAGGCATTGGAAGAACTGCATATAGAGTTATAGATATAGACCGTTTATAATCTGTCTAGTGTAATATATTGTTAAACATGATATTTTGTTCAACGCGGTCTCATGTAATGGTTTGATGAGCTTCCCTCATAGCTATCGCTTCAACTGGTCTGGCACGAAAAGATATATGGATCTGGTAATCATCCCACATGCTGCACAGTAGYCGAGCCAATCTTAATCTCGTCCCCCGTCGCTTGCCTTTGCTTCATCTGTCGCTGTAGTTCCTCATCCTCGTGTTGGATATACTTCGATGGCCGGCCTGTTGAGATTGCATCCGGGTCTCCCGTTACAATCAGCGGTGGATTGGAACGGTAGTATGCGTCGAGGTCCTCCAGGGTCCGGTTTGCTAAAGATTGTCAGCGTCATTCGGATGGTTACTGCAAATTAAACTCACCGGTCTCCGGGTACAGGTAGTATATAATCGGAAGAGAAACCGCGTTGGTGATGGTCCACACGATCCAGAATTTCCAACCGATGTTCTGTATCCCGATAGGTGTGATTTCGACAATGACAAAATTCGAGATCCTGTGTATCGTGATTAAAGAGAGCCCGACCAGAAAGAGGGTCAGGACATACCAGTTCGTCGCAGACGAGACAGCCGCACCCTTTGTCCGCATAGGAAGAGAATTGATCTCCGTCGGATACAACCACGGAACACCCAGCATGCCGATTCCAAACGCAATGTAATACAAAAAGAAGAATGCCACTGAAGCGGTACCATACTTTGGGTCGTTCTCCGCAAATCGAAGGAGAATAGTGATGATCAGGAAACAGGCAAACTGGCCAAAGGTCGACATCAGCATTAGGCCCCTTGGACCAAACCGCTCCACCATGATGACCGCCACACAGGCAAAAACAAAGTATGATGTCGCGTTGCAGGCACTGAGGAGGCGCGACATGCTGTTTGACAAGCCAACGGAGTTGATGAGCACCAAAGGTAGGTAGTAGGACATGATGTTAATCCCTGTGCATATTAGCCAGTATTCACCTGTTAATAGAGAGATCGATCCATACCCTGGAATTGCTGAAGAGCCTGCGTTCCCGCACCAAGGAGTATCCGCCGCATTGTCTTGGTGTCATTCGTCTTTTGGCGGCGTAGTAATAAATCAGTCCAGGAGACCGCGTTTTCGCGCTCGTAGTTGATACTGTATTCGATCTCGTTGTACTGCGTGATGATGTACGGATCGTCGGTTGGCTTGTCCTCGATCCGGGAAATTACATCGAGGGCTTGCTCATTGTTGCCGTGCGAGAGAAGCCACCTAAAGTGCATTAGCAGGAGATCGTCGGGATGTATTATTAGAAGCCAACCTTGGAGACTCAGGAAGCCATGGTACAGTCACGTAGAGGACGAAGATGAAGAAAAACTGCAGTGCGATCGGCAGCCTCCATGCGAGCGCACCACCTTTGAAAGAAAGCCCGTAATTGATCCAATTGACCAGCGCAAAGCCAGAGACATTGAGTGCCATTTCCAGGATGACCAGCTTTCCTCGCCATTTGACCGTGGCAGTTTCGGTTTGCCATACCGGCGCTGTAGAGGTGTTGATTCCGTTGCCAATGCTAAAAATATCAGAACTGTGCTATTATATGTAGCTCGATCAATGGTCTACTCACCCCAGGATCACTCGGCCGACAAACATCTGTGCTAGGCTGCAGGAACTGGCTTGAAGGATGGTGCCGACTGCCATTATGGTTGTTCCCAGAAGAATGGACTTCTTCCGGCCTAGCCTTTCAGACACGATAAATGCTATGATCGACTCGAAAAAGCAGCCGACGTCGTAGATGGCTGTAACGGTCGACAAGGTTTTCGTCTTGGTTGGTCCGACAAGATCATGGACGACTAGGAAATCCTCCGTGACGACGACTCCGCCTAAGGGACTTATTAGCCCATTGGTAGTATGGACTGGATCATGGACATACTAAACACTCCCTGGTCATAGCCGAACAATGTCATGTCCGTAGCACAGGCAATCTGCTTACGGCTTAGTATTAGATTAATTATAAATTCTCAATACTCACAGTGATCCAGAAGGTGAGCCATCCTCCAGTGAGCCCAAAGTAGGGCTTCGTTTTGTGCTTCTGAGTCAACATGTTTCGCTGCGTTGAGCTGCGCAAGAGTACACTTAATGACCTCGATGACCAGGTCGGCCGATGGATATGGCACGCTTATATACGACACAGAAAGGTCAAAGAGAAGCGATCTGCACGACCGAGACCCACAGCGCAGGTTTCGCAGAGTGGATTTGGGGTAACATCCTGTGTCAGCGTCTTAGCCGAACATGGACATGGTAACATGGCTGTCCGAAGTGTGTGTCACTAAGAAGACTGCCTTGAAATGATACAACCATTCTCAAGACAATACTGCGGGACAATCCCAATTTACAGGGGAATACAAGTAGCCTCCATGTGTAGATCCATGTCAGGTCGTCCATAGTGGAAGAACGAAATGTATTAGTATATGGGTGAGCTTCTTGCGTGTACCCGGACTGCGTAACAGTGTTTATGACTTGCCAAGGTCACGCTGCCGTCGCCGATCAAGCCTTTTGATAAGGATTCTAAGCAGCCTTTGGTTGCCATTAACTCCAACTGAAAAACCGTGAGCTAAGCCAATATTATTACTCATAGACACTATCTTGTCAACTCAATGTCCTGTTTCTGGCCTTCGGAATAAGCCCGATCTGCGGGAAACCCCAGAATCTTCTTCTCCAGGTTCCCCCGCCCGCGATCGCCCCGGTGTTGCTGGATCCGGAAGGTGTAACGACACATCCGAATCCCATTTTAGCCTAAGTTCCATACCGAACGGTGTACAATACTGCGTACTAGTCGGAATAACTCCAATTGTCTGTTGAGGGCATGTGCAGTAGAATCTCAGTTCACTGATGTATTAGCTAGCTTACGCGGGTGGACCGATGGTGCTCCCCAAATAATGATCGGACGATTCATCTAAGCTTGCATTTGTGAAACCACTTTCCAGGGAAAAGGTATAAACGAAATATAAGCATCCTCTTGTGGACTTATAGTCTGAACCAGTTGAATTCTCTCATTGTACAAACAATGACATCAAGGGATACAATCATTGAATATCATACTATGCCACATACCAACCATCTCATCTGAGAAGAAGCCTGCTCTAAACCCCACGTTTACTCAAATCCCGACACCATCCCATCAAACCTCCCCAACTCCCACCCAAGCATCACAGCACCCACAAAATCCGTAACACCCAGCGCCAAAAACTCCCAGAAACCCTCCTCACTCATGCGGCGCCCGCGCAAGAGGAGATTCACACCAAAAGCGGCGGAAACAGCCAGTCTAACCGGCACAGTGACGTGCAGCCACTGGTTTTCTTCAATGGGCATGTACGAGCTCAGGAAATACGGCAGCTGCAGGGCACATGCTACGACGCCGAGGAGGGCATTGGTGTCTGCGATTCGACGGGTAGAAGGTGCTGGTACGAAGACGTCGCGTCCGGTGAGGCGTTTCAAGGGCGAGTTGTGGAATAGCGAGACGTACAGGCTCAGGCCTATAATGGAGGTGCTTGTAACCAGCACATGGGGTGGGAGGTTGACTGGGCGGAAAGGGAACATTGATGATAATGGTTGCAAAAATGGCTGTAATTATGAGACTAACTGCGCACGATGGTCGTCGTCGGAGCTGGGGGAAAGTGTCCTATATATATGACGAATTTCATCGGGTGAGTCAGGATCGAATACGAGCATCGGGATAAGTAGGTTGACGTCGTCACTTGATGAGAAGCAAACTCCACAACGCCCCGAACAGACCGATCTATACGTCTCACCAAGATACAACCGACATCACGAGGCTTCCTGTTCAAAAACGTACCGTTAATCAAGACCCCGTAGGGAACGAAACCTATTCGGTGAGATTGACGATTCAACGTACCGCCACTCGGCAACAGAACTATGCTAATAAGGAGAGAGTTGCATGTCACTCTGAGTCCGCTCTCTCGCAGAAAATAGTCATATATACTTATTCAATCTGCACAGACGCAAGAGTTCTCACGTACAAAAGGCGCGCAGGAGATGGTTCTGTCGCATAGTAACGCGATGGCGCCAAGACCTTCCCGATTAGGAAGTCAGTCTCCTATTGGTTGGATTGGCAATTTGAGGATACTGAGGTAGGTCATTTCTTCAACACTTCAATGAACTCGGACTTAGATCGAAAGTCCGCTCGTAGCAATATTGTTGAGTCCGTAAAAGCCGATGGTATGAGCTCAGATAACTCAGGGACGGAGTTATAAAATCCATCCATGGCCTCGTGTAGAGATGATAGCAAACATCAACATCATTCTTACATTCTGACTATCATCACTTGTATAACAGCCCACAATACCAGAGATCTACACGTCATGACTTCTGCAGTTCAAACTCAACGCCGAAATCTCCCTCTTCTAGCTACAACCGAAACCTGCTCTGGTGGTACCTACATTGTGACCGGCGCCAACACCGGCCTAGGCTTTGAGGCAGCCAAGCACTTGGTCAGCCTCGAAGCTGCAAAGGTCATCCTCGCGGTACGTAACATCAGCGCCGGTGAGAAGGCTAAGAGGGAAATCGAAGAATCCACAGGAAAAATTGGTGTTGCTGAGGTCTGGTCTCTCGATCTGGCAAGCTATGACTCTGTCAAGGCATTTGCAGGGAAGGCGACTGCAGAGCTTGATAGGATCGATGCTGTGATCGAGAATGCGGCTGTTGCGGTGTCAGAGCGCGTCATTGCTGAAGGTCACGGCCTGGCTGTTACTGTCAATGTGCTCAGCACGTTCCTTCTTGCTGTGCTTATCTTGCCCAAGATGAAGGAGACTGCGCAGCGATATGGAATTGTACCCCATCTGACCCTTGTGACCAGCCGGGTTGGATTCGATGCCAAAGATCTGTGGGATAAGATCAAGGACGATCCGGTGAAGAAGATGGATGGAGATGGTATTCCACCGATGCGCACGTAAGTTTTCAGCAGACGAGGCTAGACTTCTTTTGCTGGCCCTGATGTCAAGAATAGATATGCACTTTCCAAGGTCTTGACAACAATGGCACTACGTTATCTTGCAACTTTAATACCCGTGGATCGCACCGGGGTTGTGTTGAATCTGGTGTGTCCGGGACTTTGCGGGACTGACCTGAGTCGCAACGCACCAGCACAGTTTAGGGAGGACCTCGCCAAGCTCCACGCAGAATATGGACGGACTGCCGAGGATGGTAGCCGCACGCTTCTTCACGGGGCTGTGGCAGGAAAAGAGAGCCATGGATTCTTGCTTCATTCCTGTGAAATTGGAGAGTAAGTCGGAATATCCCCTCGCGACCTCAAATGACTGGTGCTGACAGAGGCGTTTATCCAGAAATGCAGTGCCAAGTTGGGTGACAGATGAAGAAGGTAAGAGACAACAACAACATAGCTGGGAAACTATTGCCGAAGAGTTGGAATCCATCGAGGCTGGATGCGTAGAACGAATCTTGAAATGAGGAACTCGTCTGCGAGCTGTAATTGCGGCGGCTCTGTTTGAGACTCAGTGTTCACTTCTTTGGCAATTAGTTTTTGTGGGAGTGAAGCCAAAGGGCCTTCCCAGCAGTATCGTGAACTGCGTTGACCCAGGGGTATTTCGCAAGCATGTCCTGGACCTGTTCCCATGTGCTCAATTTCAGAGTATCGATAGTCTCCTTTGATTTCGAAATCCACGTAGGATGAGCCCCCAGCTGGGACGATGACGCTGCTCCAATATAAAGCATCCAGAGTAATATTTCCTGGACATCTAGTCCGTCATCTGGGAAAGCTTGAGCAGTATTGAGAAGTAGCTTATAGAGAAGAGCATTATGAGCGATACGACGATCTAGTCCCGGCAAGAATGTAACCAAAAACGCAGTCAGACCTAGGTGGATTCCGTTCTCAATTGCGCACTGGGGACGACACCCACCCAGGGTGTACATATTCACCAAACGATAACCGAGAACGAGCAGGTCACTGTGAAAAGTGCAGGAATCCAGCTTGGGACTGACGCCGTGCATTGCGTCGTTTAGTATTGAAGCAAGGGATGTCACATCCATGAAGATATCTTGAATATCGCCGCGCAGATTTCCCAGCAAAGGGGGCCAGTAGTGTTTGCTGGAATCCGCGTGATTCTGTCGCTTAAGGTCCCCGTAGAGTTCATTTATCGTCTTGTTTTCCTTCATGGCGTCCTCCAGGCTAAATAGTGTCGCTGAACCCAGCTGCAGAGAATACTCGAGATCAATACTACAATGGTTAGCATGGCTGGCACATGTGCAGTTGTTTCACTCAAGGGCCATACCGCAACATTTTCTGAACAAGTATATGATGGCTCTTCGAAACCTGCAACACCCCGCCTTGTAGTTGAACCATTCTTCGTAAACCTTGAACGTGGACAAATCCTCGTTGATATTGGTTCTGGTGACGCTCGTACTGAGCCATACTTACTATAACTGCCATGGTCGTATCGTTGATCGCTTCTTGGCGGGAAAGTCGTTGATTGATCAAGCGAAACGTGTGGGATATGTGACTCATCGCTTGCAGTATACCCTCTTGCTTGGTGACGAGGTTGTTGAGGCACAGTATGGACGTTGCCACGGCGCAATGGAAGCCTGCCGTGGAGCCGTCAGCCTGGGTTATTACCATGTGTTGACTCTCGACCATCTGAACGCACAAGCTTCATCGATAAATATATACCGCACAAACATCGAAGAAGCGTGATCTGTAAAGTCGAGGGCTTTGCTCAGTTGAGGCGCGTATCGTATGGCGCATAGGAATCCAACGACTGCATATTAAACCAGGTCAGCAGCACAGTCTATACAACATTAAGCGAAGGAGATGGCTATACCCTTTTTCACAAGCGCTTTCGATTCCCCAAACAGTGGCACCGGAAAGACCAGCCCATCATCTATGGGCCGTTCAATCAAAGAACTCTCTTTCACCGGACGAGGCCCCTTTCTTATTATGCCAGGGAGGTAAAATGAAGATATAGTCGTCGTTGACGCGTGCTTTCTCGATGATCGCACCATTGTTTTGCCTCTATTTTTCCCCATAGCCGCATGGCGACGGATCTGCTTTCGAGCGGCTTGATCGATGCTGAGTTTGTTGTCAATAAACTGAAAGGACATTTTGCTTGTTTGGGATACGGTATGGGGATACAGCGGATGTTAAGCAACGAAGAAGGAGTGGTAAGAGACCGAAAGATGATTTGGGGATTTCCTGTCGAGGTGATATTGAGCTGTCGGACTTAACGGAGCTAATCACCAGAGGGGTGTGCTCTTGTCACCTTTAGAGGCTAACTCACAATTCCTGAGATTTTGTTTGTTTTGTCATCCAGAAAGTCACAAGATTATCTTAAATTGACGCGTAACTCAGAGGAAACTGGAGAGAGTAGGACTTTCTGGGCCTGGAAATACACTTCGCCATCGATAACTCGTGACTTGCTTGTTGCGTTGAGTGCTGAATAGCCTCGGTGACATGGCTACAACTAACCATCTATCAAGTCCTCAGTTGGCATTTTTGGATTTATCTGTCAGATCGTGAAGGATGAATTGACTCCTTGTTATGCCAAATGCGCCGGTACTAATGAGGTCCCATCGCCAGCTAGGGTAATCGGAGCTCGTATAGCCCGTCTCTAATGCGACCTCATTCTGGCCTTATGACTCATACAAACTATATAAGTCATAAACACTTGCTCAGCAGGTGATGTAAAGCTCCTGCTATTTGGAGCCCACCGCAACAATGAGCAACATCACCCTTATCCCCCAGGCTTTTCCCACACCAAAAGAACGAGACAAAATCATTAACCTATACAAACATCTCCGCTTAGCAGGCCTTAAACAAGACCCAAAAGCTTTTTCAGCAACATACGAGGCTGAAGCAGAGTTTCCATACGAAAAGTGGCTGTCCCGGATTCAAAACCCGCAAGCACGGACCTTCATCGCGCTGAAGAGGGATGATACCGTTCATTCACCGGACGATGGGTTGACTGCCCTTTTATCGAGGGAATGGCTGGGGACTGTGACCATCGTAGGCCCAAAATTCGCGTTTAGCAGTGAAATTGATCTCAACGCGCCGTGGATGGTATTTACGGAAGGTGATCGGTATACGACACCACCAGCGAATGATACAGACGCCGTCGCCGTGTATATGATTACTGGCATGTTTGTGCTCCCAGCGTCGAGAGCGAAGGGGAACGGTCGCCGACTCGTTGAAGAGGCTGTCAAATATGCCCGGGGCGCTTCTGCTACAATGCGAACTCTACTGGTCCTACTGGTCGAAGCAGACAATGAAGCTGCAAGGAAATTCTACGAACGATGCGGGTTCCAGAAGTGCAATGAGGAAGTGGTGTTGGGTGGACACAACACAGTCGGGATGATTCTGGACACTGGTAAATAATGCAGTTAAATGCCAATCAACATCGTCCGAGGCCCGAAACTTGCGCCAGGTCAAGACCTGAAGTCCGTCAACCGCTCGAAGGGCCATATGTTTATGCCACCGGTCAATTGCTTGGAGGTAAATCATAATGGATGAGAGATGGAAAGATGCGTTGCAACCTTTAAACATTGCAATTTGCCATTGGATCCTATCGAGGCCGGCGCCTTGCCGAACGCACAGCTTCTTTATCGCTGGATCATGTTTGTGATGCACATTTGGCCCAGTGCTAAAAATTGATGGTACCTATGGAAGCTCGCCAGCTATAGTCGCGTCTGATCCATGTAACGTCGACCATTTTTGCAATCTATTTCTATTCAATTTGTATTAGAGCAATAACCGCATCGATGAGCAGCATTCCTACTGCAAGAGCGACCAGAAGATGATTGTCCTCAACGCGACTAAGAGGGCATTGAGAGAAAAGGGAGGAATCAGATAGTTTTGTGAGACATGGCGATTCATTTATTTTTTGCTCCTTGCCTGCTAATTCTACGTTACCTGCGGTCATCATTTGGTTCCAGTGTCTGACCCCTGTAAGCCCTAGTGGGTTATTGTATTTGTGGTTGCCTGCCCACCGCCCCTCCTTCGCTTTTCTTTGTTTTCGTGTATCTCATCTTCATGACACTCGTTTCTTTTAAATTCCAGTAATACAACTTCCCTCAGTCTATAAGCATCGAAGATGATCTTGGATGAATCAGAGACCCCCTTCTGGGGTCCGATCACGGCAAACTCCAAGTCAGTACTCACTACTCAGCCTCCTGTGCTGACAGATCTCTTGGAAGTATTGTCAACTAACTCGCGTGTTACAGCTTTTGTGAGGAGGTAGCTATAAATCAGAGCCCCTGTACATCAAAGTCTATTTTATCCAGCTGATGGTTTGCTTGATCTGATGTAGGACTACTTGGTAACCAGATATGCTGCAGAATTCATCAACAGCTTGACCAATGTAGTATACAGTAAGTGATTTCGTCTGTTTTGGTTGAGACGACAATCCCACTGGAAAACACGTCCAGTAATCTACGCCATCTATGGACTCTACCAGCTGCGGCAGAAACCAAATGCTGGTTTCCTTCGCACCGTACCCTACTGGGGTTTAATGGCAGTGGGAATTTGTTCAGCTCTATTCCACGTCAGCCTCAAGTACCACACGCAGATGTGTAGGCTTTTCATTTCCTTATTCTACTCTCATACTTTTTCTCTGGCTTACTCTATTCATCAGTGGACGACATCTCCATGATGTTCACAACAACCCCGGTGCTTCACCGCGTCATGACCACCAATGCCAGCCCCAGGGTAACGATCATCGTGGGCATGATTCTGGGGTCAACCCTTCTCGCCCTAGTAATTTACCATGTAAAGACAGATGAGCTGCTCCTACACTCTGTGTTCTTTGTTGGCTCCGTAACCGCCATCGGAATTTCTACCATGCGAATGATCAACACTCGCACACTGGCGGGTTCGGAGGCTCGAAGGCAGATCTGGGGCATGGTACGGTTCGGCGCTGGTAATATATTTACCTCACTCCGACATTGGCACTCTTACTAACTTCATGGCGAAGTTATATTCAATCTGGGGTACTGGCTCTGGCTCGTTGATGGGTGGGTGTGTTCCTACCTAAAAAGCATCCGGGAGACGGTGGGACTACGTTGGGCCTTTTTGTTGGAGCTTCATGGATGGTATGTACCAGTTTTCCATTTGTTTCGTCCTCATTTCTTGTGAATAATGTAATTGATATCAAAATCGGCAGGTGGCACATCTGCAGTGGAATTGGCGCCTATATGTTCATCGCGGTGATCGATCATCTTGTATCAGGGGTTGATCACAGAGATATCCCCGGATCCCTGGCCTGGCCTGCTCCGTGGGCTGCTCAGTCGGTCTTCGCGGGAAAAGGATCGGACAAGAAACAAGCATGAGCATACAACTTGGGAGTTGGAAATGTTGCTCCATACCAGGATCATGCGCGCTTCGGACGACCGGTTGTTGCTCCCATAGTCACCGGGCGTGATGATATTCAGCAACATGCCAGGATTTAGTTTCTAGCGACATAAACCTCGAGAAGTATTAATTATGTCGACTAGCAAAGAGATCGTACCTCCAATTTAGCCTGCATTCCATATCCATGATAAACCGGCCGTGTTGATTGATATTGCTATCTCGCTTTGGAGTGTCATGGATCTACAAAGGCAGATATACGTGACATGAACATGGCCAACAAGGTGACAGAAAGAAGGGATCCGTTGTTGGATTCTCCACAGACATTAATGTGTATCAATCCATGCCATTATCTGCTAGTCTAATATTCTGTGCTACCAATCGAATGTCACATTGCCTACACGATGGCTAGGGGGCGTAAGACCAATATTTAAGAGCGCCCGATCGAGTTCCTGCATAAAAGGTGCACACCAGGCGCCTTGGCTGAGGTCGAGACTGAGCCAGTATCACAGAGACATATATCGGCTAAACCGATCGGGTTTAGATACTTGTAAGCTCACGAGCCACTTGTTGAGCAGGTCATCGACTTGCCATTTCCAATGGACCAGTTTCCATCGTCCGAGAGAACCATGGTCTCCATCGGCACCCATCGCCTCTACCTCTCCATAAGCGGCCCACCCCGCTGCGACCCGCCAGATCCTATCGTAGTGTTCATCGCTGGCGCAGGCGACGTCGCATCATCGTACTGCGCCGTTCAACGGCTCGTCGCGCCCTTCTCCCCGCTCGTTCTTTACGACCGCTCCGGCCTCGGTCGCAGCGAAAGTAATCCAAACGCATCCAGCCCAACGGCCACGTCAGCAGCCACGGAGCTACACACCTTACTCAGCACCGCAAACATCCCTCCACCACTTATCCTGGCCGCTCACTCCTATGGCGGGATCATCGCCCGGGAATATCTCCATCTCTACTCTAGCGATGTCGCAGGAATGGTTCTCATGGATGCCTCAACCGAACGAAACAACGAGCTATTCCAGAACCCAGATTTAGACCTTACTGCGATGGTGGGGAACTTGAAGTTTGCCGAGGTCACGGGACTGCGTGCTGCCGCTCAGCTGTCGCGAGAGGAATGGAGGGTGAGAGCGATGGACATTTCGCGGGGAATGGCTACTTCTCAGGCTGAAGCGATGGCGCGGGAGAATGTTTGCCGTGCGCTTGCTGAAAAAGCGCAGCTCAAGAAGCAGGCGCTGGGTGATCGGCCTTTGAGCGTGATTCGGTGTAATGGGTTGATGGACTACTGGAGACTCTATGAGAAGGCTGTCGAGGCTGGTAATGGGACGGAGGCTCAGCGAGCGGCGTTCCGTGAGCTGCTTGAGAAATGGGATGGGATGGGTCGTGAGATGCAGGAAGAGCAGTTGAAACTGTCTAGACGGAGTCGGATTGTTCATTTGCCGGACTGTGGGCATAATGTGCATTTGATTCGACCGGATGTTATTTCAGAGGAGATTCGATGGGTAAGAGAGCAGATCTTGGGTCCGAAGATAGACTCTACTCTTTGATCTGACGCATCGTTGGTCGGAATGCATCGTTGTCTGCAAGGGACGCGATCCGCCCATAAGGATGGGCCCCTTCGCGGTTTGGAATTGCCACAGAAGTAGCAGGCAGCTTCAGCTCCACCCATTAAGAGAATTGCACGCCTTAAGACACCGAATGTTGATGCCTGGGTCTACGACTTTGGGAAGCTGTCAAATCTGTACACATCTCGAAGCCATACATAACCCGAGATCTAAATATCAATCTACATCTACAAATTAACACACTTAATACTCAATACTACGTTTCGTTCTGAAACAAATGCTGCCTGCGGGTGATCGAAGTGTATCCTAAACTCCTTTTAGGCGCTCTCTCTTCACATAGTTCTATCAGGAACAGCAAAATGTCTGATCTTCTTGATGGTCTCCTCCACTTCGGAGGAATCCCGGCCTCCTATATTGATCGCAGCTTGGCTGAGTGGTGTCGACTCGGCGTGTGCCCAACCGCTGATTACCAAGCTGCCCTTCTGGATTTCGTCCGAGAAAGCCGCTTCAAACGCGGCCCTAGAATGAAGGAAATAGGCCTGCAAAAAAGTTACCTCCAGCAGGCCGCGCTGAAGAAAGTGTCCCGCGAGCGGTCCTAGGTGGTAACTGCCAGTGACACGGGCGTTGAGGTCGACAATGTACTGATTCCCCCACGCATCTGTTATTATATCTAGCCCAACCGGGCCATAATAGCCTTTCCGATGCAGGAAAGCGGCGACCTTCTCCGATATGTCGCGATAGGTTTCTTTGAGCTCCGGTTGCCGCTTGTAGGAGATTGAACAACCAATCCAGTGATCGTCTTCGTCTAATTGCTGATCACAGCACGCAATAAAGATGGGCCGTCCCTTCTTTGTTACAAAAAGAGATAAGCCCATTGTTGTACCATGAATGAAGCGCTGAATCACTAAAGAACATGGATGCATATGATGATTTGATTCGTTAATTTGCTGGAGCATCCGGCCCAGTTGCGCTGCGAGTGTTGCCTTGACATCTGCTCTTTGGGCATCTGTACAGACCTTGAAGACACCTAGCCCAGAGGCTGATTGGGGGAGCTTGAGAACGAACGGCAATTCGTGATTGTCAAGTAGCTGGGTGATTCTGGAAATTTCACCCCTCAGTAGGTCCTGATCGTGTACGTCGTGTGGAGTGAGCACAGTATCGATAACCTTGGATGGCGGCGTTGGCAGTCCTGACGTAGCCAAACCAGGTTTGGAAAGTATCTCATAGTGGATCTCAGGGTCGACGAGATGTGGCAAGTGCAGGACGCTGTCTGACGGAAATATTACTGCAATATGAGCCCCTGGCTCTACAGATATACTTTCTGAACTTGTCGGAAAGCTCACAATCGGCTGTTGATCAAAAGATAACTGAGCAAAATTTCGAAAGATATCGGCGTGGTCGGCGTGCAGTGTATCTAGAGCTTGGTCGTCGCACTGGGAGTCGGCGTAGAGGACAGCTAGAGGCATCTTGCCAGCGATAAACCCATGCCTCTGAGGCTTGAGCTTTGTATCGAGAATGACAGAGGGCTCGGCTGTCTTTTGCGTCCCTTGCAACTCATACTGGTACGTAAATTTCACCGCCGAGTCTTCCATAAAAGAGTATACGAGGGTAATGTTTGGCCAGTCCTCGTTGTCCACGGCGTAAAGCTCGTAAAGGGTATAATCCAGGTGGATAAGAGGTGTTGAGTCCATTGTAGCCGGCTTCAGTGGGGCGTATGGTTGGTTTTGGGCATTGTCGATAGCCTCGAGGGTAAGAAGTTCAAAGATGATAGGGTCTCGGCCTTCTTCTTCAAAGTAGACTTCAGAGGACCTGAGCTCTACCTTGCCTTTCGCAACTGCACTCATAGTTAATGAGGATGATCACGACTGGTATGTGTCGTATAGTAAAAGAAAAAATTGCTAGGCTGTCCCAGAACACACCACAGTACAGCTGGGAAACAGCTGCCGGGGAACTAAAAGCCCAGGATGAGGAAGCCAATGGCACACAAGCACATACTTTCATCAGTCATAGTGGGAAGTAAGTAGTTTCTGGTTGCATAAAGTGGAAATAGAAATAGGAAGGAGTGTCTTGCAAGTAGAAGGAAATATTAATGGGCTGCTATGCTTGCAATAATAGTGGACTCTGCGTCCTTATTTGTGTCCGGGCTCAGGGATCAATGACACCTAGGTACTCTAGAGAACGAAGATGACGCTTAGAGTATAGTAGTAACAACCACATGTCTTCAGAAAAGTAATGACTAAACCCTGACATAATCTTCTTATGGCGAACACTGATTAGATGGGTGCCCAGAAGTTTTGTATCTTTCAAACTCAAGCTTCAGCCAATGTAACATAGATTAACTCTCCAGTGGAGATCGCTGATCTGCCTTCGCGGAAGTAAATGAAAAGGACATCTCGGGATCCTTACATTCGCCATCCTCTAGGAGGCGCCTGTATCCATTAATAATTGCAAATAAAAATACATGAAGAAAAGCCTGAAACAAGAGTTAGTGATATGTTAATATAAGCTACCTTGCACAAACTCACACCCATTAACTACTTTGATAATTCCATTTTTTGTTTTCCCTTCCAATCCGGGAGGCTTGGGGATGAATGCAAGGAAGGTAGCTGGGCTACGTCATCACTAAGATACCTTCATGTATCTTCACTAGGAGCGCAAATCTCAAGTAGCATGCTTCTTTTTGCAAACTCACTCTCTTAAAATAAATATGATGTGACTTTACAAAGAGTTTTGTATTAGTTCCCTCCTGTATCCAGAACAATTGCCCAATGTTGTCTGAGTGAGTTGTGTGTGAAGTTCCGCATTCAGCCAGCGCATCATAAATTATGCTCTTGAATGTCTGGTGATAACTAAAAATAAATACACATGATACACATGATCTCCTCATATGAAGGTCTGTTCTCTCTGACTCTGTGGTATCTCTAAAGGCCGACCACAGGCTCTAGAACAGAAGGCTGGATCAACTGTAAAGAAGTACAGCAGGAACCACACAAAACTACTCGCATCACCCTAGATCCATCTTCAGACGAGTACAGCTTATGTAGAGGCCTTTACTGAAGCTCCTCCAAATCAAATATTTTCTTCCAGATTGTAGAATACTCAATAGGGAGCAGAAGATATGAAGATATTTGTAAAATTCATTATGTGTGTGTAAATCTATGTTTACTACTGTATAAGAGAAGGAGCTATCTACTGAGTGAGATCATGTGATCGGATCTCCGCCATACTGAGTATGGCCACACAGATATGGGCTTAGCCAAAAGCTGCGACGACGCCCTTGAACCCATCGTCAATCTCCTTAGTAATAGCCATGGAATGATCATCATTCACAGTTAAGCATTTTCTGAATATTAGTAAGAAATCACGCCATTTCCCCCAAGAAACATGGACTAAAGAGTGGGTTTATTGAGGGTTTGCAGATAAATTTTTTGGAATGTTAGAATCATATTAATAAAGGGCCCGACTGGTCATAGAACAGTGGATAGGATTCTCATTCATCATTTATTTACCCTCACAGCACTGATGTTAAGTGCGCCAACCGCGCAGTCCCTAATGGCAACTATGCTATTCTTAATCACTTCACAGTCATTAGTGGAAGGGTTGCCATACTCTTCAAGCACTTTTTCTGCATTTAACAAACTAGTCCTGACACGGCGTTATCCTTGTTCAACAGAGGTTGTCCCTCTTATAAGCTCCTTTTGAGACTAGAACGCTCCTTTAGGTCTCGATAACCTAACTGTATATGGAGTATGGACTGTCGTTCCATGCGTGACCAGCTATTTCCCTTGGATACGTACTTAGGCCGTCTGGAATGCAATTCTTATCTCCTTGCCTAGTGGGCCTGTGGTGAAATTGTCTTGTATTTCTTGGGCTATGACAGGAATTTCATTGTAAATGGTAAATAAACTATGACTACTAGGAAATATTATGTCCGAGGGAAAGGAGCCCCTGCGGCCTACCACTCAGGAAGAAGAGCTGATCTTTTAACCACTTTCAGCTATCTAACATGCCCGGATAGGTGTTTTTATGTTTTGACCGTCTCGCAATCCATAGACAGATATCCTTCCCGTCTCGAACGTAGCAGACTAGTTGGACGGCATATGAGACCGTTCCGAACAGTGCACTTGCGCAACGTTCGATTTCGAGACGAAGGTCCCCGTGTGGCCCGTATACAGGGGATTTTTCATTCCTCCACCCTTTCAAAAGGGAGATGGACCCGCGCTTCAAGGTCTCATGGAGCGTCTGCTCGATCAGCTCAGTGCGCTCTCTTGAGGTTGCTGTTGCTGGCGTGGGGAGAGTCACTGTTTTAAGAGCATGATCAATGGCCCGGCAAGACATTGACCAGTGGACCTTTTCGACAACCGTTGACAAAATGTAGCCCAGGGTGAGATGCATCCGTCGACGCTGAACAGATAGGAATCGCTTTACTTGCCATCTGGTTTCCACTCCGCGGGTACTTGAAGCAAGCCTGACAGCAAAGCGAAACCGAGAGGAAATGCCGGCATTTCCCAGCGATGTACTTGGTTGTCAAAGATTTATTGTCGAGGCCGACGAAGCATAAGAGGTTCATCAGATGGGCGGTTCTGATTGCGGAGATGAACGTGTGCGGCATGCGTAGGACTGGACTGCTGTACATCCTGAATACCAGAAGCGTCTGCGAGATGAGATCCGAAGTAAAATTCCGTCAGCCAGCCATGAGCTTACTTGCGACGATATCGTCTCACTATGCCTCCTAAATGGCATCTGCCGGGAAGCCCTCCGCTTGTATCCCCCCGTTCCTATTACAGTTCAAGGCTGTCCGGTCAACTACTGTGGCGGGTGTGCGTGTGCCGCAAGGGACACGTATACTGCTGTGTCCCTATGCAATCAATCGCTGTTTGAGAGCATGGGGCTCGGATAGTGGTAAATTTTCCCCGAGCGCTGGACCCAAAAGGACGAAGGCAACACCAATCCCAAGTCCGGGCAATGTATGGCCAGCAACT